CCGAATTGTTGGCAGCTACGTGACATCAGTATAACCCATGTGATGGAAAAGGTTCGAAACTACAGCTTATATCGGTCGACGGACGATAGTAGAACTTAGGGTCTTTGAGAAGCGGCGTAGTGGTACCATAACCGTACACATCTATTCGAAGTTAGCCAGACTCAGGCAACAATTGTTCGAAGTAAAGGGTCATCACCTCGCCATGCTTCAGGCTTGACAAATGAGATTGTATTCGGGTTTATGCGGACGACATCTCCATACTGTTCGTGAAGCTTCAGACAGCTGTGCGGAACAGTCCCAGCGAGTACGTCGAAAGAGTTAGAGATCCAGAAAGCGCCACGCAACTTCGGTCCTGGATATTTGGAGAGCGGATGAAGGGTTATATTGTAGACTGCTTGGAACAATGAGTAAACCAGATACTGCGCAAAATGTTAGTGAAGCGCTTTCTCATTTCCATTCTACTAGCATACTTACAGCTAGTATCAAAGAGATCAAGAGTTGGAATACGGATGGTTTTGCTATGTTGTATTCCATTCTGAATTCGCTGCAGACCTGGCAGACTCAAAGTCTTCGTGATTTCCAAGATGCTGCTCATATGTAGATGTGCTGACAGCGGGGCGTTCTAGCCCCTGTCACGGCACACGAAAGGATAGACAATGCCATTCGTGAGCATCCTGCAGTCAGCTGTTGTACGCCCGATGCTAAAAAAGATGTGATGGTTGGCCCTACCATTTTAGATAGTCGAAGATTAATAGTGCTCGGCCAAACATCATCGGACGTACGCGGCTCTTATCTTACACACCCCGGATTTCTTTACGCTCTACGCCACGCGCTTATCTCTTCATATGCCTTCGCGTTGCTTCCTGTGATTTCGACATGAAGCAAAAAAGAAGAACGCATGTATATGAAAGTCTACAAGCAAAAAGGATCAAAAACATACAACAGCGGGGATTCGCTAGTGGTCACCCACCTAACTACTAATCCGCCGGTACACTGCTTGTATATGGCTGAGCGGACGGGAAGCCTAATTTTCAGTGTCCTATGGTCGTATGTGAAAGATATGGATTTATCGTTGCATTATATACCGAGTTCGGCTACCATCTCGTCGACTATCGTACACGAACAACATTTTTATCCCATTTCCAGCTATGCCACCAATACCGGCCAGCCCTTGACATACTCGATTGGATTCCATCCCAAGAACTTAAAGTTGTCTCGGTACAGCGGATCGTATGTTGTGTTGATATAGTGGTAGTACAGCACGTCGCGTCCGTGGTAGTTGGAAATCACAGCCTGTCCACCGGGGCCGTAGGTGTTACCGTGGCTCCCGTATACCATGCTTCCGCCACCTTCAGCAAGATCCTTCCCATTGCGGTCAACGAAAGGACCGCGGGGAGACTTGGAACGACCAACGAAGATAGTGTACTCAGCACCAGCTGGGGGCAGAGCAGCGGGGTTGTAGCCACAGCACAGTCCTGCTGAGTACCAAAGGTAGTAAAAGCCTTGCTTCTTGTTGTAGTTGATATACGGGGCCTCCTCAGCGGATGCACCTCCCCAAGCAAGGGACATGTTGGCGTACGCCTGCTCCTTAGTCGGCAGCACAGGATCGTAGGTGTAGCTCAACTGACGGGCGGTAGGGATCTTGACGGATTTGAGGTCCTTGGTCAACTCGAACTGCCAGATATTGGCCCACCACGAGCCGTAGGTGAGGTAGTTTTTACCCGTCTTGGCATCTTGGATGAAAGCCGCGTCGATAGTGTTGGTCTTGCTCAACGGAAAGGGAGCGTCAGTGCTGTTAGAGGAGACAACCATGCCGTGGTCAGTCCAGGATCCATTCTGCAGCGTCTTCGAGGTGGCAAGCCCAATGAAGGACTCTGAGACACCGAAGTCAGAGACAGTGTAGTAGCAGTAGTAGGTGTCGCCGATCTTGTGAACATCAGGAGCCCTGTATTGTCGCGTTAGAATATGAGGTCTTGGAGCATTTCCTAGGCTGCTGTTTCTCACCAAAGACGATTTGCCTTCGCAGGGTCATCAATGCTGCCAGGTGGCTGCAAGACTTGGCTGACAACCTCCCAGTACCCTTCTAGGCTATTCTTCTTCGAAGCACGAGATGTTGTGGCCAAGCCATGAGAGGAGAAAGAGTAGTAGTGGCCATCCGGTCCAAGCACAACACTCGGGTCATGAATGTGGACACCACCAAGTGCACCGTTCAAGTCCTCACCGGTGATCTTGCGAGGCGCGGGCCAGTAGTCCCTGGAGTACGGGTCCTTGACAGGTTTGGCCGGGTCATAAGATGCCGACGGAGCACCGAAGGCTGGGGTGAAGAGAGAAGAGATGCCTAGGGCGAGAGCCGTGAGGCTGGTCTTAGTGGACGACATGACGGGGTTTGTTGCGGAGACAAACCTCGCTGATCGTTGGAAGATTACCTAGGTATCTAGTCTTATATAGCAGACTGCCGTGCGTCAATGCAGGGCCAAGAGCCCACGATGCGAATCTGGGTCTCGCGCCTGGGCAGATGTTGTGTGCCATGTGCATGCGAACGCCATCGTACTGCGTTCACAGCAAGTCCCTTGGCATGAGCCACGATCCGTCCGGCCGGGTAGTCCAAGCTAGGTAACGTTTCCCTGGAATGGTAAGAGCAAAGAACAATTCTCCGCACTTAACGTTCTAAAGGTGGAGATAGAGCCTTGGGGTAGAGGGATTCACGGGACGTGGGGGAATTTGTTCGCACGAATCAACGACTAGCACAGCCGGCTAGTAGACCTCGGGAGTCAGGAACAGGCGACCTCACCCCATCACTAGACCTTAACATTGAAGGAGCGAGGACGATCGAATAGCAGGAGTTTGCCTGGCGGTAGCTTCATGATTAGCTATGAGACGTGTCGCATGAGTGCTAGGAGAGGTTGTATGGTTGTTAAGTCCCGAGGTCTACCCTTTCCAGTTAGCATGAGTACGTTATCAGCACGGCCACTCTGCTTGGCGTATACAGCACCTCGGAGTTTGACCGACCATGAAGAAACCCCGACTTTCGGGGCCTTTTGGAGTTCTTGTCCATTCGACAACCTGGCATGACCGCTTATAACCAAGGCCTAAGTTGAACCTGGATCTGTAATCTCCCCACCTTCTTCCTCAAGTAGTATCTTCTACGCTTATCTGACGCACTATAGCTCTTCATTAGTGCACTGCAACTCCCATGATATAAAGGTCGTTCCTGACTTTGAAGGTCTGCACACTCTATTAACCACACCCTCTCACATTCCTTCGTCTTCGCCACGAGTCCATTGCACCTCATTCTACCACCTCAAACACAACCTCAGCATCTGCATAAATTGAAGGCCTCGGAACGTCGTGTGAGAACGAGAACTTGTGGGGTACATGGATGATCGTGATTATGCGACTACGCGAAACACTTCTGACACGCTACGACCGCAATGACACCAGGGTAGTATTTGCGAACCACGAAACGCGAGCCAATAGGAGAGTCAAGTCTGAATGATTTTCCTGGGGCATGTGATCCCAAGTAGTCAGAAATGTGCGATTGGTGAGTCGTGTTGTTATGCGGTCCCTAGGTCCAGTATATTACTGGAAACGGCGGCTAGGTATGAGTGGTATAGACATGAGAGATCTGACTGTCGTGCTTGAGGGCAGTTTCCATCCTTCTTTTCCCTTTACCTTTTACTCGACATTAGCATGATATCAGCACTCCGTGTACAATCTGCGATTGGCAATATGGGACTCCGAGTAAGACAGCTGATGCCCGGTCCAGAGCGCAATGACACCCAGGCACCTCTTCTCCTTGGCGTATGCGGTAGTCTGACACTACTTGCTGTTCTACTACTTTCCGCAAGACTCTGGTCGAGAGTACGCCCGCTATGGAACCTGCATCTGGAGGATTGGACGGCTGTCGCAGCAACAGTAAGCCAGGCTCCATTGCCTACCAACGCACATCTGATCTCGAATGCGCACAGGTCCTTGCGATAGCAAAATACATCATCGTTTGCCTAGCATGCGCTCACGGCTTTGGTCAGCGCACGAAGTATGTTTCGGCAGCCTCGCGTCTCGCTGCCATGCGACTCATCTTCCTCTGTCAAGCCCTCTGGAATGTGTCGATTTGTCTTGTCAAAATCTCAGTCGCCCTTCTCTTGCTTCGCATCAAGCAAACACACGCATGGCGCATCTTCCTCTACAGCACGATGGTACTACTCATCCTCACAGCTATAACATCGACGTTGTTTCAGTTCCTGCAATGCCAACCATTCAGCGTATACTGGGATTCTAGCGTCTTTCTCAGAGGTGTAGAATGTGTACCCCAGGAGCTCATAACGGGGAACATCGTCGCTGCGAGTACCGTGCACGTTTCAACAGACCTGGTGTTTTCCTTTATACCGATAACTTTCATCCGAAAGTTGCATCGACCGCGTGGCGAAAAGATTTTTCTGGGCATACTGATGGGTCTTGGACTGTTCGCTTCGTCGTTCGCCATCTTGCGTACCGCGGGTGCAAACATGATCTACACATCTCATGATGTCTTTCGCACAACTGTTATGCCTACACTGTGGTCGATGTTGGAGCTCGAACTCGCGTTGATAGCTGCTACTATTCCAACGCTCAAGAGTTTCGTACAGAAAAGCCTTATGAAGCTTGGACGCTTCTTCTACGATGAGAAAACGGAAACACAAGTGCGAAACCGGCTTGTGGAGCTGGGGTTCCTTAACGAGAACAGTAATGAGTTTGTGGGACTGGGACGGAAGCTGTCGAAACCAGACATTGGCGACGATATGACACCGGCGAGTGTGCGAACGTCGCGAAAAAGGAAGGATGAGTATGCGATGACGGTTGAGGAGCTTGCAGCATCGGAAAGTGAGGGTCATGGGATTACACGAGACTTGCGGGCGTTTGGGCCTTGAAGGCAGTCGGAAACTGTAATATTAAAACTAAGTAGCCACGATTTATGAAATGCAAGGGTATCTCTTACTCAGACACAGGACAGCGGCCCCCTCTCATTCCTTCTTCAATACATCGACAATCCACTGGATAGCGTCTTTTGCTTCTGTTAACCCGTATGGCATAGTGAGCACGAAGCAGTGCATCTGCTTCTCCCAATGAACCCATTCGCCGACGACGCCTGCTTCAGCGCACTTATTGCGGAAGATGATACCGTCAGGACTGAGCACGTCGCATCCAGCAGTTATGCCGTGTACCTTGATGCCCTTCTTCGCAAGTAGTGAGACATCAGCGTTGATTGGTGAGATCCGGCGATCGGCGGGATCCCAGTCGCCTTGCCATGCTCTTGCTGTCAGCCTGATTATTTTGGGTGTGAGCAGAGGGTCTCGAGGTGCGACTTTGTCGATATCTGGATTGGCGCGCGTGAGGTCGGTCGACGGGCACACATTCATAATGGCGACAGGGTGTGGTCTTTGCTTGATCTCTACGCCTTCTTGTTCGCTGTCCTCGTGGAGAGCTTCTAGTACAAGACATAACGCAATATTCGCACCCGACGAATCGCCTGCCAGTATGACCTTCTCTCCTGCCTCTTCTGCCTCTGTCATCAAAGCGCGATACATGTTTTGGCAAACAGGAAAAGACTTTGGCGCTGGATCGTTCGGGGCAAGCGGCGTGGAGACAATAGATATGGAAGTATCGGACATGTCTTTGGCTAGCTTTGCACATATCTTGTAGTGTTGAGGCGAAGGCGGTTCTTGCCAACTACCACCAGCGAAGTAGTATATACGTTTCTTCGATCTCTTCACTGCTTGATTCGGTGGTATCACATCGTATATGTGTACATCTCTGACGGTTCGTTCGTGGAGGGTGCATTGGGAGAGGTTCGATTTGCTCGGGTTCAGTTTGATGGAGCCGTCTTCGTGGTTTGCTTGACGGTTGCTGATGCGAACTCGCATTAGTCGTACCAGCGATTGCACCACCGACATGAGAAAGGTACGCTCATCGCGGTGTGTGAGCTGTATCGAGGAGCTGGTCTTAGCGGTTGTGCCGGACATTTTGTCGTCTGTCATGGTGCAGATGTCGAAAATTATGGTAGTAGATATTGAGGCCGAGGAAGCTCCGTTACAGGGAAGAATGAAGGAACTCCAAACGCAAGGGAAAAAGGGCGCTTGTATGGATCCATCTTGGGACGGAAACAAAGAGGAGTACGCATCGTCGATTACGGGGCCTTATGCACGCCCACGCGCGCTGAACGGCTCGTTATTTACTAGAGGACGGGATCCATGACGTCATGGCGCTGTTTCTAGGCCTCATACAGGAGACCCTGACTAGAAGGGGGAAGTTATCAACTCTTCCGGGAGTGGGTCGATCTGGAGGTGATAATTCGGAGGTCGTAAGCATCACGCGTGAAATGCGGTACGCGTCGCGGGTCCAGTGTCGGCTTGCAAAAAGCACTTGGGATGACGTAGCGTGCATAACTGTGCCGATTCTCCCATGCCAAGCCCTGGATCTCTTGGGCGACAGCAACCAAACTTTCTGACGTTCTATCCGTATTCTGGCCATCTTGGATACTTTATCAGCTACTGGCAAGTCGTCATCCCAGTCAATGGATCAGTAGACAGCCTTGAGAAGAATGGACCGTACTGTAGGTGCTGCAAATCCCATCTGATAGGAAGCGGCACGAAAGAGTTATTTATGCGCCTTGTTCTCGCCTGATTTGCGGCGCTGACCCATTTCATTTGTGGCTGAATGTTATCTTCCGACTTCCGGTATCCTTGTTCGCCGCGCATGCATGCAGGAAAAACACCTGGGCGGAGGTCTTGGTCCAGCCGCTGAGTGGCTGTGCAGTAGGCGGAAATTGTGCCTAGGAGTAGGTTCCGCTCCGCCAACTGTTACAAGTCGTGTCCGCCGGCGCCAACTCCGTCTTAGGTGCTCTTGTTTTCTTAGCATTCCATTGTTGAGCCCTTCTTATTGGCGACACTTTATCGGGATGCCTTGGCCTACGTGGGTCGACCACCAACAATCAAATGAGCTGATCAGGGAACTGGATCAGGAAAATCTTAAAGATGAACGTTGCCGTTGAGCCACATGTGGCAGCTGATCCATCACCTACTTCCGCAAGCCGATCATATCCATTCCTGGAACTACCAGCACGTCGATGGCTTCACAACAGTTCCTTACCGACGAAGAAATTAAGAAGTTTATTGACGACCTCGATCACGACAAAGATGGCAATGTCGACTACTGGGAATTAGAACGCAAGCTGGACCAAGTACATAAAGAGATAGCACCCAAAGCGCAGCCACACAACCTACACCATGGATCTCGGGGCGACGAAGCTCGACATGAGTTTCTCAGAAATGTCATTGGAACGCGGGAGGACCACATCAACCGAGAAACCTTTGCAAAAACAGTGAAGGCGTGGGAGATACCATCCTTGGAGCAAGATCGGAAGGAAGCAAAAGATGAAGACGACTATCTGAAGCAGGTGTCCCTGTACCGACGAGCGCGAGCGTATTGGGCCGTTAAAGGGCCTGAGATCATGTTTCTCACACTGGTTTTACTTTTGATGATCGGCTTTGGCGTCTGGCAATTTGTCAAATACCTGACCTTTGACCAGTATACGCCTGCGTTCGGATGGGGAGCAGTCTTGTCCAAGACGTGCGCTGGCGTGCTCTATCCGACCTTCTTCTTCCTCATTCTGTCCATGTCAAGATGGCTCTCGACATTTCTTCGGCGCTTCTACTTCATCTCGCGGTTCATCAACTGGGATTTGTCCCAGAGTTTTCATATCAAGATGTCTATTGTCGCATTGGTCTTTGCTACTCTTCATGCTATTGGCCACCTCAGCGGCTCTTTTGTCTTTGGCAGTATGGCTAGTCGACAGGGTGCAGTTGCCAATGTCATTGGACAGGACGCAGTGCCGCGCTCATATACTGATTACCTTCGGTCATTACCTGGATGGACGGGTCTCACATCACTCGGCTTGTTCTATCTCCTTGCACTCATGAGCATGCCTCAAATACGAAAATGGAGCTACGAAGTCTTCCAACTGGCCCATCTACTCATGTTCCCTATCATTGGCTTCATGATGGCGCATGGAACTGCGCACCTGCTGCAATGGCCGATGTTCGGCTACTGGCTCGCCTTTCCAACGCTCATGGTGCTGTTTGAACGCACATGGCGCTTGGTCCTGAGCTTCCGTCCTATCCTTGCGGATCTCGAGCTGTTGGATGATGAGACTGTCGCAATCACAGCGCAGGTACCCAAGACTCGTCCCTGGGACTACAAAGCTGGCCAGTACGTCTTTGTGCAGGTTCCGCAACTATCCCGATTCCAGTGGCATCCCTTCACTGTTTCCACATGCATCAACAATACCATGCAGGTTCACATCAAGGCTGATGGCGACTGGACAAACTCGCTTCGTGATCTAGCGAAGGAAGGAGGTCGATCGACGATCAAGATCGGTCTTGACGGACCATTTGGCGCACCTGCTCAGCGATTCTACGACTTCGAATACAGCATGGTCTTTGGGTATGTTGAACTGCTTGCTTTACGATGACGCAGGTTACTAACACATGATAGTGCTGGTATTGGCATAACGCCTTTCTCCGGTGTGCTTACGGACCTCCAGCATCACGAGCTCGAGCGTGTCAAGTCTAGAGATGACTCCCCAGAATCATCCGACGAAACCCCCAGGGAGCCTTCACCGTATTCGAACCATCGCCGAGTCGACTTACATTGGATGGTGCGCGACAAAAACAATCTCCTGTGGTTCTCTGATCTACTGAATGAGGTCTTTCGCCACAGGACGGACAGCCCGGATCTCGACATCCGTATCAACACCTACGTGACCCAGAAACGCAAACAAATATCACAACACGTCTTCCGTTGGCTACTCGAGAAGCATCGAACAGATGATCATCCACAGTCACCCATTACTGGTCTTGTCAATCCGACACATTTCGGACGTCCGGATATTCGTGGTATCATGGAGGCACATTACGACGATATGAGCAAAGTTTTAGCCGATCGACTGAATGAGAAAGACGGCAACAAAGACGATGAGATCAAAATCGGTGTCTTCTTCTGCGGACCGCCTGTCATCGGTCAACAGATTGCCGATCAGTGTAGCGTGTTGACTGCAAGGGCAAGGAACGAGGATAGAAAGCTTGAGTACCGGTTTATGATTGAGGTGTTTGGTTAGAGACAAACGATGCTTAGCTTAATTGTAATGAAATCTTTGATATCCGACTCAAATACTCCAAACTAGCGAGATGTGGATTATACGTGCTGCATGATGAGTTTGAAGAATTTCAAAAGGGTTGTCAAGATGGATTCATCGCAAGTACTTCATGGTAGAAGTGGAGCACGTGCCTTGGCGCTAGACCCGCGTTACCAAACGCCGACGTGTCGGAACCGTCGTTGGCCGCCCGGAACGCTTTCACCTAACCACCCACCACTCCGTCTTTCTTAACATCGGCATCTCAGCCACAGCGCATCACGTTGTTCACTTGCTATAGCACGGTTCCTTGCTTCGCGACGCAAAAGACTAAGCTTCACAACCCAGACCCAACACACCAAAAGCCCCGCCCCCCGCGCCCAGAGCACTGCTGCCACCTTCCGCGCACCCCCACTCCCGATACACACCATGGCTTCATCGGCTTCAAAGCGCCTTTTCAAGGAGTATCGTATGCTCTCCAACGACCCGCCAGAGGGCATCACTGCCGGCCCGGTCAGAGAAGACGACATGTTCATCTGGGAAGCGCTGATCCAAGGACCGGAAGGCACACCCTTTGAAGGCGGCGTCTTCCCCGCAGAGTTACGGTTCCCGAAAGACTACCCACTCGCGCCACCAAAGATGAAGTTTGTGACGGAGATGTGGCATCCAAATGGTATGTTTGATCACCTAGGACATGCTTCCCTCTGTTCACTCACCTACGGGCGCAAGAAGCATGAATTAGTGAGAATCTGAGCTAACTTTACGAACAGTATACCCCAACGGCGAAGTTTGTATATCGATCCTCCACGCGCCTGGCGAAGACCCCATGCACTACGAACAAGCCTCCGAGCGGTGGTCACCCATACAAAGCGTCGAGAAGATCTTGATTAGCGTCATGAGCATGTTGGCAGAGCCGAACGATGAGAGTCCAGCGAACGTGGACGCGGCGCGAATGTGGAGGGAGAAGAGGGAGGAGTACGAGAAGATTGTGCGGACGAATGTCAGGAAGAGTCTGGGGCTGTAGGAAGCCTGAGACAGGGCATGTATGAGAGGGGACGGATGAGGATAGAGAGGAGTTATGAATCACGAATGCATTAGCGTAACGGGAGTTTCTTGGTGGTGCTTGATATTAAGCTTCTCAATATATGGAAATATGATATGAGCATCTCCATAACTGCCTTGAAGACAACAGTGGTCAAGTGGATCCGCTGCTACAAGGTTGAACTTGTTCATTCATGACATTCGTAAAGTCGTGCTGTGCTACCAATATATGAGCTAACAATGCGAATGTATATCAGTCTGCCACATCCGCTGTGGATATAACCAGCCAATATCCTCAGACAACCTCCAGTCCAGAAGCTTCACCATATCCGTTGTACGCCACGCCCCGGAAGTTCCACTTTGGACATTTCTCCTGCATATTACCACTTTTGTCTGTTGCGCGACTGTAGATCGTGACATCCTTGCCCTTCTCGACTTTGACCTTCAACTTCCATAGCGCCCACGCCCACTTGAGTTCAACATCCTTGGCGTCTTCACCCTCATAGTTCTTAATCAGTTCTGCCTCTGTCCATGACTTTCCTCCGTCAACACTGACTTCAACTTTCACGATAGGTCCATCTGCACCACTAGGCAGGGCGTATCCCTTGACTTCAATCATACCATCTGCATCCTGATGTACAGTGGTACCTGACTTCGGAACTCCGATGACGCTGTTGACAGGCATGTCATGCAGCGCGCCAACTTTGTCCCAGTACTCCTCTGCCTTCTCTTTGGAATCAGCTTCCGGAGGTAGAATCTTGTAGTCATGTTGCTGGTAGTGGCTTTGGCTCTCGCTTAGCTGGACTGAGATAGAGTCAAGCCACTTTACGCTCCTCGCTCCGGCGATACCTGGTGTGACGACGCGGACTGGAGCTCCATGATTAGGTGGAAGAGGCTTGTCGTTCATCTTCAGCGCGAGCAAAATCGAGCTTTCGCGATTCATAGCTCGTGACAGTGGAATACTGGCACCGTAAAAGTCATCTTCTTGCGTAACCGTCTGGTAGCACGAGAATGCTACATGCGCTTCCTTCAGCTTATCATCCTCGACCTTGACACCAGCTTTTTCCAGAACATCCTTGAGCAGAGGGCCAGTCCATTTGCAGTTCATGACAGCACCATCGAACCAGTCGATGCCGGACACCTCCTTCAACTTTGTACGCATGGTATGACGCCGATTGCCGGCGCATTGTAATGCGCATATCACGGTATGTTGTGGAAGTGCTTGAAGGTCTGAAATGCAAAGCGAGAGTTCATTGTTGACGAGGCCGGTGATGGAGACTTTGTGTGTGCTGGCATCGATGTGGGGAATGGGGCCGTGGTTGCGGTCGTAGCCGTCTTTGGTAATGAAACTGTACTCAGGATTAGTATCGTGATGGCTGTAATACTACCAATAGTATCCAATGACTATCGTAGTTCTCCCAAAAGAAAGAAGACTGAGCTCCGTTTCAGCGCAAATGGACACCACGCATGGAATGACTCGCGCTCAACTAACGCCTTTCATCGCTGTCTCCACACAACATGCTTGTCCTTCCATACTCAGACACTACACACATACCTTTGGACTAACTTCTCAAGCTCTGGCTCGCGGTTAAGCGGCTCTTCGACCGAGTACTCAAGCTACGACCGACTTGTCAGCCCTGTCATACCAAAACCAGCCAATCGTGAAGACATAGTCTACCGCATTAGGAAGTCGATGCAAAAAAATCTGGGGGCGTACCTGAACCATAGTGGTCGAACGTAGTTTGGCGGCGCACGTGAAATTGCGTGATTGAAAGCTAGGACGGAGGAAAAGTGGCGGGGGACACAGGTATAAGCGACACAAGCGGGGGCGGGGTAAGAGCGAAGTAGGCCCGACGAGGTTGTTTGCTGAGCCACACGTGGTGTATGGTTTGGGCAGGTGCGAGGGGGGAAGCCGGGTAGATGCGGCTTTTTGCTATGCATCTGCAAAGGAGGAGGGCAGTTCAAGCAACGAGGATAGAATGTGTGAGCACGCTGTTTACTTTGCGGCATGACGTTTGCTAGTCGATATATTACGACATTTGCTCGGAGTGCTTGGATCGAGCTGCTCATAGCTTCTACTATCACGGGCCCATTGCAAAGTGCGTCATTCGCTAGTGGGTATGAATGTATCATCGGGTCACGATACCGCAGTATCCTTGAGATCTAGTCTACCACTTCATGAACCGACACCGTTGGAATCTCGCTACAGTGGCAGTCCTGGACATCGATTATCATCTCTTTAGATAATGCAAGTATTGGGAGTACCTAGGTAGTGTTTCCATCGTGCTCCTGTAAAACATGCACTTCATGAAGAACCTCTAATACAGTTCGATGCTTCGAGAAGGTGTTTCCACATCTTCTAAAACGGTGTCATCCTCCAGAGTCATATTTGGCAATGGCCCTATATCTGAGTACCATGACTACCTATGGCAACATCGAGCTGGCTTTCTCGGGAGAGATCACGAAGTCTACATCAATCCTTGGCCAGCTCTTCTTCTTCATCCTTAGTATTGGGCAATCAAAACACATCGGGATACCAAGGATCTTCAAAGACATATATGTTCTCTGGTAACTGAGTCAGAGAGTTAGATCGCAAGTCCACCCCATTTTCTTCTTCGCTGCGTCTTCGCTTTGCAGTCACCATCCCGCTTGCTTCATGATTGAGATCTGGAAAGTTGTGAAACGGCATGGTGACATCTGGCGACGACGTACCACTGGGGTCGAGTTATAAAGCGAGTTGCACCATGATGTATGGAAGAACCGACCCCATGGAGTGGAAATGCCTCAAAAGTTTTATGATGGTTGAAAACGGATCTTGTTATTGAATTAGGAAGCTTGCCTTACCTACATAGCTGCTTCTTCACAATGACAAACCTCACTCCTCTGATGTTCCGTGCTACTCAAAAACATGACTGTTCAGTTGAGCAAATAAACAAGATCAAACGATTCAAGAGATAAGGACTCCTTTTCAATATGCTAACTCCATGGATGAAGCAATGCAGACTCGACTCAACATAACCATCCGCCTATCAGTCTAATCCTCATCCACCATCAGCCCGCCCATACCGTCACTCAATCCGCCTAGCCCACTAACCCCTTCTACCTCGCTGTCTTCCATGAAGATGCGCTCAAATTCTATATCGCCCACATCGCAGCTAAAAGTGGTCGTGGGATCAGTCTTCCTGCGTTTGGCAACCTCCTCGAACTCGCGATAATTCTTTTGAATCTCGTCTTGAGAAAGCTCACTTAAGCGCAGGTGGTGGGGGCTGCTCAGTTCCATAGCTGAATTCGCAATTTTGGGAATACTTCTGTTGCTGGCTGATTCGGAAGTGCTGGCGAAGCTAGATCTAGATTCCATGGGGGAGTCTGGTGGCGTGGGCACTTGACCAGTTGGGATAATTGGGATCTCTTTTTTTTCTTTGACAGGCGTGCGACAACAATCGTCCTTCGGGTCCTTTAGTTCCAACAATTCTTTTTTGATTGCTGCGTAGACCACGTGAAATGCTGGAGCAACTGCCGCATATAAACGAAGTGCCACTTCACTGGGTTCCCGCTCAACAGATGTAGTTCGGTTCTCTACATTCTGACGAAAGGTTTCCAACGCTTCGAGCACAACTTCGCACTCCTCCACCGCAGACTGGTATCTTTGCGATTCAATGGTTGCAGCGTGCATGTCGATATCATCACGCAGCGCCAGCTTCTGACGTTTGACGTCAGTGTCAGATTCATCATATACCAGTTCCACTGGTGACATTCCGTCATAGCTTGTGGAGCGTAACACAGCCTTTCGTTTCTTGGGTGAATCGGGAAAGCACTTTCTCAATGCCCCAAAGAAAGCAGGTTTGGAGTCACGATGCTGTTGAAGCCTAGGTGAAGCGAGGTTGTTGGACCAGGGCTCGCTGATATATGACGGAATTGGGGGCGTCGATGCGTCCTCGGTCTGTGGTCTGTATTCGTCTGGTATCGCATGGACCTGAAGCGTGTCTACAATCTCAACCTTGACGACATATCGCGAAACACGCTCGAAGCGCACGTCTCCTGGAAACTTTGTGACGATGCTGGCTTGAATAAGCGTCTCGGATGTCGTTGGAGTATCCGGTGCCTGTGCACGGAATAATTCGCTGAACTTATCCCATTGGATCATGGATGTGGAACGCGTCACAGTGTAAACGACGTCATCGGGAAAGCGATTGTAACTCGAACTGTCTGGCTCACGATATGGGGCGATGTGATACTGGCCTCTCGGTCCGAGTTGCGAAGGAACATGCTCAAACTTAACATCGGGCGGTTGCCAATGTACTCTGGTGATAGCGTGAACCACGGGCATGGTATAGTGATCGAGTGTCACTTCAGCCGACATGAAAACCCCCTCCGAACTGCGCAGGAAGCAATCGTGCGTTGCAATGTAATTGCAAACAAAGCTTGGAAGATCGCCAGACCCAAGCGACCATCGAAAGTTCCTGACAGCGTTCTGGCTGGAGTGATCGTTGTAGAAAGCATCGATGATATCATGGATCAGATTTGGCAAGTTGACTTCGATGAGACGGTTTTGCTTCCTGGGAAGAGCTTGTAATAAAAGAGTCAAAGGTTCTTCGCCTTCGAGATCGTCCCGGATTTTGTTTAGTTGAACAACAGTGAGGCGTCGCAAGTCATTCTCGACTTGAGAGACCAGACATCTCTGGAACAAACGCTCCCATAGCATAAGCTCTAGCGCTCTGGCGTTGGAGATACCTTTCCAGCACGAAATTACGTCGAGATGATTGATTGCTGCTGAAGATTAGCAGTGCAACAGACCGAACTTCTAAAATCGATTTGTGTAGTGATGGGATGAGATTTTCTCGGAGCTTCGTAGTTGTACCTTGTTGCTTGGACTCCGATCTTCTCAAAAGTGGACAGCGTATCTCACTAAGTGATGTATTCGAATGGAGAGCGATACCGTGCAACTCGACATCGAAAGCAACGTTTGCCAGAAGGTTTTCGAAGTATGGACGGCCCCCATCGTCTGATGATACGGAACTGGCCGATGGGTGAGCATGACTGGCGATGCCGACACCAGCGTGAAGCGACTGCACAACTTCGGCAGCAACATCCTAAGCTGTCAATATAGCCCGGAGACATGGCTGCACATACTCACAAGACGTTCTGTGGACATGTTGTAGTAAAAGATACTTGCGAACAATACGGTGTCTTGATCAATCGAGCGGAGCCTGAATGTGATGTTGTGGTTGTCCACCAGATTGTGCTTCTCAGGCAGACAGCTTCGCAGGTAGTGGATACCAGGCAGGAGAGGTGCTCGTGGATGACTGCTAGCTCCTGGAGTAAGAATGAGCTGCGGGCAGAACGCGCTTGCATCACGAAAACGCAAACACACCCGCAACACTTTCTTCCGACACAACGTCTATATGGCATCCATGGAGGCCCGCGTAGTGAGTCGCTCATTCTTGTTGCCAAGCTTCGATATTTGGAGGAAGGCATCGACTCCATAGCCTTCCAAGCTGTGAATCTCGAGACTGCCAGCCCAATATTCTGGAATAGCGTTAGTCGCGTAACCCCGCCACTACCACGGAATACTCACCGGCATATAGACGCGACATGGGAAGTCCAATACCTAGGCGCAGATCCGGTGCACGACTAGTCAATGAGGATAGCGAGCCGTGATGTAAGCCCGAATCGCCGTGCTTTGACCTGCTATCTAGGCGTTGTTGCACCTGTGCCGCAGATTCACCACCGGGTACCTGCAGCTCTTGCAACGTCCCTAACAACTTTGGTACTCTTGCCAGATTTTCTAACCTTTTCTCGCGGCGGGGACCTTTGCTGAAGCTCCACAAGTACGGCAAGACTTCGTTTGAAATACCACCGCCTTGGTCGGATATTCTGATAATGACATGTTGCGAGGTTTCGCATATCAGCACTGCGATGGGTGGCAGCTTGGCGTCTTTCGACTTGCGCTGTTCGATGACAGCTTGGATGGAGTTTCGCAAAAGCTCGCCAATGATGTATTCAAGGTGACTCAGAATGTATGGAAACGTCGCATCCATGTGGCCGTAAACTTTGATCTCTGGAATGTCGACATGCGAGCCATAGGTGCGCTTAATCAGCTCCTGCATTGTCTTACCGCAATCTTCGACTATGTCTTTCGCGTTGCACCGCAAGAATATCTCGCCGACTGCCTCCTGGTCATGGGGATGGATCTCGGCCTGAGGGAAATGCCATGGCGAATCGAAAGTCTCGGTAAGCGCTAGATGCTGTTCTGCAATGACGCGTCGCGAGATGCGCTACGATGGTTAGTGTTGTCCACAGGCCGGTACATTTTGGGCGCATACCGATCGTAACATGGTGGTCATGAACTTGTCCGTCTCTTCAGCCTTCATTAGGCCTCGAACCTCGAGTACACCAATAGCAAGACGGGGTATGACGGATGCATGCTCGGTCAACGTCTCTTCCAGCACTTTGCAGTATTTCTCGTTGTCGTCTAGCGACTTTATCTCGGGTATGCGACGGAAGCGTTCAAAGGCTCGCAGGTATGACTCGTAGACATGGGCGAGATGGGGATTCGCAACAACGACATATGGTAGGGTCTGAATATCACGCAAACGATGTGCAAGCCTGGATTTATTTAGCAACCGTCGTACGCCTTCAAAAGATAAAGTCGCACCTTGTAGGAAGTTCTAAACGGCAATAGTTGGCCGAATCGATGAGACGAGACTCAGTCAGGGTCCTACCAAAGAAAGTCAATTGTCGCAAGCTTATGGGCCTGGCTTCGCGCTGCACCCATCTAGTTGCGTATTAGCTTTGGTTGTCGCTGTCACGGTTGGTTATTTGGAGCTCACTCGTCGAGGGCCGAAGACGGTCTCCATGCTGGCGCGACGGCTGCAGCATGAGAAAGTCGAATTTGTAGCCTGGAAATGGTATGTGTTGGAGACGCCCTACGTAGACTACCAGAGTGTCGCGCGCATAATGCGAGACTACGTCTTCCTATGTTCATAATTGTCGGTGCGAGTGCGAGCAAGTGCAGGAACCCAACGATGGAGCTGTAGCAAAATACGGGGCATGTGATTACATGCTCCGCTAACCGGCCCAAGTTTTGGAGAAATCACTCACAACCTGGACCTGTTCACGCCGTGACACAGTCAAGAGGACGTAATCATGGAAGAGCGAGTCAAGTCCAGCATTACAACACGCACAATGCGCGAGCGTTTGTAGATGTCGATATTCGCGTGGCATGCTATCCACCAGCATGTGGTGTTGGACGAATGACGTCGTAGGCCGCGGCCTTGGGTTGCTGCACTCCACTGTATCGAGCGCCAAGGCTGCAACCATCGAAGAGAGTTGCTGTTCTGAGCGTCGAGAGCTGCTGCCAGCTTCCCGGCTTTGTGCGCCCTCGCATTCCACCTCCCACCCCCTTGCACATTCCCGTTGTTGGAGTTTTCAAGACGACAATAATCCGATCGTCATATCTCCACTGCCGCCACCATTTAGCGAGGAACTCATCCTTACTCGCATCCCGCGCAAGTGCTGTCCACCCGTACCTTCCTTTCTCTAGGCGACAGGCGCGCAGCTTCCTTTTTCACCTTCCAACGTCGAGCGCACTCAGTGGTCCCTGTCCTTGCGACGCCTCTGTATAGCTCTTTCCTTGCAGCCTGCCCCCACGTCCACCCGCTCCTGCCGGGAAGCTGAAGCCGCCATGGATCAGGTAAGCTTGCGCCTTCACTGTCGTCACTCCGCACGCAGCCATGCTGACTGGATGGCTCCAACAGATTGAAAGTGACATGCTCGTCGACAACGAGTACGACGAGAAGGCCGACGTCGCCATCATAACGCCAGACACAGACGACCAAATGGACGAGGTCGACGCCGACCCCGAGCCCCGCGCCGACGAATACGATGCCTTTATGAAGAGACACATGCCCAAGAATCTCGAGTACGACACTGAAGCAGAAGTATACAACACATGGGAGATCAAAGACTGGCGCCAACTTACACGACGCGAGCATGGCCCCATCTTCGAGTGCGGCGGACATCCCTGGCGGATACTGTTTTTCCCGTACGGTAACAACGTCGACTTTGCTTCCTTTTACCTGGAGCAAGCTTATGAGGAGAAGCAAATGCCAGAGGATTGGTACGCATGTGTCGAATTCATGCTCGTACTCTGGAACCCCAAGGACCCAACTATTTACACCACACATACCGCACATCACCGCTTTACTGCTGACGAAGGCGATTGGGGCTTCACGCGCTTTGCAGAACTAAGAAAACTTTTCAGCAACTCATGGGAGGACCGAGGACGGCCAATGGTAGAAGACAACGCAGCCAATGTGACTGCGTACATAAGAGTGCTCAAGGACCCCACTGGAGTGTTGTGGCACAATTTTATCAAGTGAGTTTCTCAATGCTGACTTGTAGTTGCTATCGACTTGCTGACCGTTCCAGTTACGACTCGAAGAAGGAGACCGGCATGGTCGGGCTGAAGAACCAGGGCGCAACTTGCTACCTCAACTCGCTCTTGCAGTCACTATTCTTCACTAATGCTTTCCGCCAGGTATGCGGCAAGCCCTAGAATATAGGGACAAGACTGACGTTCCCAGGCCGTTTACCAGATTCCAACCGCCGAAGAAGCCGACCGTTCCAACAGCGCATACGCTTTACAACGGCTTTTCTACCTTCTCCAGACATCGAACGGCGCCGTAGGCACGACAGAACTCACACATTCCTTCGGTTGGGATTCGAAACAGATTTTCGAACAGCAAGATGTACAGGAGCTATCCCGCGTGCTCATGGACAAGCTTGATGAGAGGATGAAGGGCACTGAAGCCGAAGGTGCCTTGACAAGGATGTTCGTAGGCAAGATGAAGACTTACATATCATGCATCAACGTCGACTACGAATCATCCCGGGTTGAGGACTTCTGGGATATACAATTGAACGTGAGCGGAAACAAGAACCTCGACGACAGCTTCAAAGATTACGTGCAAGTGGAGACCATGGACGGTGAAAACAAGTACTTCGCAGAGGGCTTTGGGTTGCAAGATGCCAAGAAGGGTGTCATATTCGAGAGCTTCCCGCCTGTGCTGCACCTCCAGCTCAAGCGCTTCGAATACGACTTCACACGCGATGCCATGATGAAGGTTAACGACCGTTACGAATTCCCAGAGGTCTGGGACGCTGCACCATACCTTTCCGACGGAGCCGATCGATCCGAATCCTGGATATACCACCTGCACGGTGTTTTGGTGCACAGCGGTGATCTCAACGCGGGCCACTACTACGCTTTCCTCAAGCCTACCAAGGATGGACACTACTACAAATTCGATGACGACCGTGTGACTCGCGCCACACTACGCGAAGCCTTGGAAGAAAACTTTGGTGGCGACTACGCCCAGGCTAATGGAAACACTGGCCAGCGTAACCCCTACACCAGAGCCTGGTCTGCCAAGCGCTCAATGAGCGCATACATGTTGGTATACATCAGAGAAACCAGACTTGACCAGGTTCTCATAGACAGCAAGGCTGTAGAGCCACCAAAGCATTTGGCAGAACGACTTGCTGAGGAACGAGCATTGATGGAGCGCAGGAAGAAGGAGCGCGAAGAAGCTCATCTCTACATGGATGTGGCAGTCGCATCAGATGAACAATTCAAAGCACACCAGGGATTTGATATCGTACCATGGAAGAGCGATCAAGAGACGCCTGCTAGCCCGAGGATCTACCGCGTGCTCCGAGCCACCACAATGGCTGACTTTGCAGCCACTGTTGCTCAAGATTTAGGAACTGAAGCAGACATGCTGCGGCCATGGTCGATGGTTAATAGGCAGAACGGTACTATCCGCCCGGATACCGCTCTTGAATTCCCCGAAATGACAGTGGAAGAGGCCGCAAGCAAGCACGGCACGAAGCAGTCGCAATTCAGGATGTGGATCGAGAAGGCCCAAGAACGCGATGATAGTGGAGCGCCAGTTTTTGGCGAAAAGCTAGTAGACCTCAAGGGTCAGACTAACAATCGTCCATTGATGATCTTCCTGAAACATTTCGACGCGAATGAACAGAGTCTGTTCGGTGTGGGCACCTTGTACGCGGCATTCCAGGACAAGGTTTCTGATCTAACCCCAGCCATCACGAAGATGTTGGGATGGCCGACTGGTACGCAAATCAAGCTTTCAGAAGAGATCAAACAAAACATGATCGAAGCGATGAAGCCAAAGATTACATTGGCAGCCTCGGAAATTCAAGATGGCGACATCATCACAGTTCAACGTGTATTGAACGAGAAGGAAGTCGCTCAGGTAACAGCCCAAGGAGGCTACACCGAGGCAAAGGAATTTTACGACTATCTCCTGAACAGGATCAACATTGAATTCGTGCCGAAGACGTCGGATATGGATCTGCCTACATTCTCCTTAACTCTCAGCAAGAAGATGGCATACGATCAATTCTCCAGCAAGGTAGCAGAGGCCCTCAAAACCGATCCTAGCTATCTACGCTTCACCACCGTCAGCACTGCTGGCAAGCCCAAACTACCTGTCAAGTACAATGCCAATTCGACATTGAACAACATACTCTTCCCTGGACCCTACAATTATTCTGCAAGCGCGAACCAGCGAAACGACGCCTTGTTTTACGAGGTTCTGGACATGAGTCTGAAAGAGCTAGAGCAAAGAAAGCCTGTCAAGGTAACTTGGCTTCCAGAGGGTCTCAGCAAGGAGGTGAGTTTTAAGCCTAAACTGACGTTCATATCGGTACTAATACAATATAGGAGGAGCACACCTTGATGGTCCCTAAGAACGCCCAAGTTGCCGATCTCTTGGTGGCATTGCAAAAGAAAGCAAACATCAGCGACGAAGTAATGCCTAAGATTCGTGCTTACGAGGCGCATGTGAACAAGTTTCACAAAATTCTGCCGCCAGACCATTCTGTAATGAGCCTCTACGACTACACGTCGATCTTTGTCGCGCCTTTCCCTGAGGACGAGTCATCGAAGAAGATTTCTGTATTCCACTTTGACAAAGAGCCATCAAAAGCACACGGTGTGCCGTTCCAGTTTGCATTGAAAGAGGTGTGTATAGCTATTACGATCTCTTCTGCCCTGTTGCTAATACATTATAGGGCGAGCCTTTCAGTGAAACAAAACAGCGACTCTCAGACTTCACCAAGATCAAGGGGAAACAGCTAGACAAGATCAGATTTGCCCTTGTCGGCAAAGCTCAATATTCCAAGCCCGAACCAATCGATGATGGTAAGCTACCTTTGACGACGACAAATCTGCAGCACTAACAGTACTACAGATGAAGTCCTATGGGATACAGTGGGCGCACGAGATGACATATCCCTTGGTCTCGAACACCCGGCCAAGACAAAGACGCTCTGGGGAAAGACCGACTCCATCTTCATTCGCTGAAGCAGAGGGACGGTTGTGTAGGATAAAACGAAAAAGATGGCAGGCAACACTGCTGAGTACAGTCACAATGGTCTTGACATAACATTGTCAGCGAAGTTCTCTCGGCATTGCTTAGCGGATCAGGACAGTGAGCGTGTTGTGTGCATATCCCAACTTACATGGCGCAATGGAGCTTGGAAGTATTGCATAAGCGGAGTCGCGTGCGTGGGCAGGTTGGCGCTGTGGTCTGACAGATGTTTATAGAGTCCCACTTTGGATCAGTATCAGCGTGTAAGCAGTGTAGAATAGTATATCATGAATATCATTAGCTTGCTTCATTCCAGGCCACCAAAGCACTATATGTTGAATATCTACTAGATGTTCTTTGAGATGTCTTGAGTACATTTGTGTCTGTGTTGACTCGTAGCGAGAGCAACTTCACGCCGCAGCCGCTTGTTCCCAGGTAGAAGCGGTGCCGTGCACGTTCGCTTTTTATTCAACACTACAAATATTATCAAGGATCTACACTTTGCAGTGCTTGTCCGCAACCGCCTTGAATCCCATTGGCTAGTCGCTAGTTCCCCGCGCCTTCCCCCCCGGCATCCCTGCGTCGGCAAAACCTACCGCCGACGTTGTCGACAGCTGTAACTTCCAGCACACGAGAACACGCATCAACAAACGCAGTCGTCCACGCCAACGAACACGATGCGGTCACTCCTCACCATTTTCAGCGCATTGCTGGCATACGCCACTGCTGTGTATGCTACTGCCCTCACCTACAGACTAGAGGCACACGAGCAAGCGTGCTTCTACGCGCACGTTGAGAACAAGGGGACCAAGTTGGCTTTCTACTTTGCAGTACGTTCTCCATCCGGACCCTGGATACGCAATGGCCTCGGAGCCGTCAATTGTTTCCCTACCTTACTCCAGGCTGCTACGCGGTAGCACGATAAATCCTGGGACCGGAAGGCTGACAGAATGTGGACAGGTCCAATCCGGAGGCTCATTCGATGTCGACTATTTGGTTGTCGGCCCAACAGACAAGACCATCCTGGATGGAACCAAGGAGCGACAGGGCGACTTTGTATTCACGGCAAACGATGTGGGAGAATACCGTTTCTGCTTCAACAACGAGATGAGCACTTTTGCAGAGAAGATGGTCGATTTCGAAATCGCCGTACGTAAAGCCTCGCAGTACAACTATGGATACGTTTGGACTATCATACTGATTTTGCGCGCCTACAGGTTGAGAACGAAGCCGCCCGTGCCAAGATCCCGTCCAAGCAGGGCTCCTCCCCTGAACAGACCTCGGTCCTTGAGGAGTCTATTCTCAAGTTATCCGCACAACTCTCCACCATCTCCCGCAACCAGAAGTACTTCCGCACGCGCGAGAACCGCAACTTCAGCACCGTCAAGAGTACCGAGAAGAGGATATTCAACTTCAGTTTGATGGAGTCAGGCTTGATCATGACCATGGCAGGGTTGCAGGTCTTCATTGTTCGCTTCTTTTTCCAGGGCGCGAGGAAAGGTATTATTTGAAACTGCCTCTCAGGATAAGAGTATGGAAGTATCGTGGGCTGACACATGTTGGCAGGCTACGTATGAGCATGCGCTAGTTCACTTTCCAAATTTGGAGTTGGACCATCATGCAATCTGGAGATCTAGCGGGTCGTTTGGAGTACTATCCTGCGGGACGAGAAGAGTATGCAACTTTTTTGATTACCTGATTCTGGCGCTACTGGGAAAGCGGCATCTTCAAGGTTTTTGGGCGCACTAGTAAGATACAGAAATTCGAGGAAGAAGTGCAAAAGCCATCTAGTTGTCGAGGCCCCCCATTTGACTATAAATCACCCTAAAAAACTTGCCTGTGACGACTAGCTGTTCCTGGCCGCTTTGAAGCGGGTGTTCTCCACTGATTTCCCCCTCATGGTACTGCTCACGTGCCAGCGTGACTAGAAATGCTCACAGTTTTGTAGGAACGTTTGTGGTTATTGTATAACTTAAAAAGTTCTAGAAAATCTTGCCACGAACATGTTGCAGTACAGCCTCCAGCTCTTCTTCATGTGGTACAAAGCTACTGCGCGCTCAATAGCAATGGAGACGTTGCTCATGCCTTATACTCTCGCCTGTCTTACTAACTCACAGTACCAGATGAGCGACGATATTCGCTACCAGGTTATTCTTCGCTCGCTCGCCTATAAACTTGGAGGTAGGTTTGCAGCACATGGGGATGACTTGAATCTCCTTGACCTGACACTTTGCCACTGGCTACAAGCACGATACAATGAATAACTACATTAACCCTTACATGGGCGACCATGGCACACCCAATAACTATCATCCCCAGGCACGGTTCGGTGGCCTTCCCCATATGCCAAATCAGCAAGTAGCCGCACAGTCAGTCGGCGCTCCTGGCAGCGTTCAAGGCATGCCCGTTCACAGTCACGCACAAATCCAGAGCAACGACCCCAGAACTCTGCCGAGTCAGCAGCAGATGCGCGCCCAACCCACCAGCAGTTCCGGTAGTGCATGTGGTGTACTGCCCTGGCATCCTCTATTCCATGTGATGACGGTGCTACACAACGCACAATCAGCCCGTATGAATACTCAGAACGGACAACAATATGGGCCATTGCATCCACAACAGCAGATGATGATGCTACAGGAGCAGCACCGTCTGCAGCAGTACCACTTTCAGCAATATCATTTGCAGCAACATCATTTGCAGCAACAGAGGCTACACCCAGCAGTACCACAGCAAGAACGAATGCTGCACTTAGCAGCACCACAGCAGCAGCAGTATCAGTGGTATACGTATACACAACCTCCACAACTGGTGCCTCAGGAACAGCCAACGCCCCCATATTCTTCACCTGCACTTGCTGCATCGAACATTGCTACACTAAGCGACGAACTGGCCGCAGCAGATGCTACCATGCCTGAAGCCATACCCACGAAGAAGGCGCGTGGCTGGCCCAAGAAAGCTGCACCTACTGTTCTGTCCCAAGAGCCCATTACAGAACCAACGGGGCAGACCAAGGAGACGACATCCTCCCAAGTAGATGACGCAGATGAATTCGATCATCTACCCAGCTACTTCTCGAGGAGTGAAGAATCGGAACTTCTCGAATGGGGATTGCAACAGCAAGCAAAGGACCGCGAAAGCGCCGAAAAATGGAGTGCAGGCTCGTACGGCGAGAGCACTTGGGATTATGATCTTTTCGAAGAGAGTCCCGAGAGCCCATGGAATTATGACCTCGAAAGGTTACCTCGATGTCCTTCTCCCGTCGGTGATTTAATGGAGGAGGTCTGAACTGGTGTTTGGGCATCTTCTGGTTCTGTTTTTGACTCGTGGAAAATTGGGTTTACATTATGGGACGGTTATCTTCAGGAAGGGCACCATCATCATCTTTTACGGTAAGACTTGCACAAGTGTCTTTTTGCCAGCAGTAGAACAAGCGTGCGACATAGACAGGATAGATTCGGTATTAGAACATCTTCACAATCTTTCTCTTGCCTTTTGACGATCCTACCCTATCGCTCTCACTACATAACGGCGCGAAGATCGTCAGTCGCGAATGTGGAGACGAACGGGCGCTAACCGGCGGGGATGAGCTGCAGGGATGGATGACATCAACGACTTCCATGCTGGCGTATCTACGTCCCATCACCGACTCCGACCTCCATATCGGCGATCGGACTTCCGTGCACGCCCAGCCCATCTCGACGGACATATGGAGTTTGCATACGGCTTTACCCTATGCGAACCGACACCAGATTTGTGGAACCATCAAGCTTCGCCGGTTTTAGCATAGGGCCATCCGTTATCCCCAAAACACGAACGCCATTTCAAGGACACAGCAGCGGACTTAGAGGCTTACGACCGAAGACCGGCCGTATGCCTCTCAACATTGATCCTTCGCGTTATGGTTATATACAACTTCACTACCAAGAATTCAACGACTTGGTACACATTGCCGAAACTGTTCCAGTGCTTACCCTAGTTCAGACGCGATCACGGCAAAGCCCTATTCCTCTTTACACTTGGCAGTATGGTATTGCTTACCACCCTCAAAAATATCGCCGTGGTTGGTGCTAGCGGCAATGTTGGCACCCATATCACATCGGCTCTCCTTGCGAAAACACACTTCAACGTCACAGCGATCACTCGTACAGACTCCAAAGCTACCTTCCCACCAGGCGTTCGAGTCGCACGTATCGACTATAACAGTCCAGACACCATAGTCAAAGCTTTGACAGGACAGGATGCACTTGTTATTACAATGAGCGTGTTTGCTGGTGGCGCGCAGGAGCAACTCATTCGTGGGGCAGCTCAAGCCGGCGTACCATGGGTTCTACCAAACGAGTTTGGTATGTACAACACAGAGGAAGCTCAGAATGAAACTATCGGACCGGGAAAGACCATCGCTCGCAAACTCATCGAGTCGCTCGGTGTTTCCTCTTGGGTAGGCCTCACCTCAGGTTTCTGGTACGAGTACTCCCTCAGCGGTGGTTACTATGGCATCAACATACCGAAGCGCGAGGTCACTTACATAGACGACGGTAAGCCGCGTCTGAACACCGCCACATGGCCCCAGACTGGACTTGCCGTCGCAAACTTGCTATCTCTGCCAGTATCTGGATCTGATAGCGATGGGCCGACCCTGGAGCAATATCGCAACCGCATGCTCTTCGTTTCTTCTTTCGCTCTTAACCAGCGCGAGATGCTCGAGGCTGTCCAGAAAGCAACGGGAACTACGGAGAAGGATTGGAAAATCACATCCGAGTCAGCAAAGGAACGCTTGGCTACAGCCAGGCAGAGGATGATGATGGGCGATCGTAAGTCCTTTGCAACGGTTTTGTACACACGCTATTTTATTGACGAGACGGGCTTGTATGAGAAGAATCATGGCCTGAACAATGACGAGCTGGGCCTTCCGAAAGAGGATCTGGACGAAGCTACGAAACGAGCCGTGGACCTGGCGTATACGGATTACCACAAGAACATGTACTCGTAGACTGTCTACCTTCTTCGCATGCAGTTCTATCACAAGCATACTATGAACGTTTTCATTTATTCATTCTGCAACGTAAAAGCGTTGCATCAGTCAAATACAATAGCAGCCTTGACAACCTCTTGTTTCCTCACCGCGTCCAGACATTCCTCCCATTGCTCGATTTTATATGTCTTGTTTGCGATGCCACCCAACTTCAGTCTCCCAGCATTCACATACTCCAGTACATGTGGTATGTGGCTCATGCTACAGAAGCTAGCTAGAATCGTGATTTCATTCTCCCAGATACGGAACGGGGACCAAGCAATCTTAACACTCTCGTCATAAACGCCGTACACTACGAGCTTGCCACCTTTGCGTACGTACTCGATAGCCTTTTCGAGGACAGTCGGTGCGCCAGTAGCTTCCACCACGATGTCGAAACCGTAAGGATTATTGGTTTGGAGGGCGGCCATATCAGCGCTGGGATTCTCATCGGATATAGTGACGTAGGAGTCCGCGATATCAAGTTCGCGAGCAAGATCGAGCTTGGGTCCAGCTTTTGAAGCGATAGTCAACTGAATCATGTCAGCGTTGATTTGAGATGTCTAGAAGGCTTCGTGTACATGAGCGGCGCCATTCATTTTGATCAACTGAGCGAGCAGTATACCAGTTGGCCCACATCCGAAGAGCAATACTCTGCTTCCAACCTCCATCTGCATCCGCTCGATGCCATGCGCGGCGCATGCAGCGGGTTCAATTAGAACTGCTTCCAGATCGGGAAGATCGCCGATGGGAAATACCATTTTCGCTGGGTATCTGCAGTACTCGGCCATGCCACCCGGGACATTACCGCCATATCCGATGATGTTCTCGCAGAGCTGAGTCTTTCTGCGAGTACAGTAGAAGCAGCTGAGGCATGGTTGCAAGGCATCAGCTGCTACACGATCGCCGATGGCAACGTTCTTGACGTTTTTGCCAATAGCAGCAACGGTGCCTGCTGCCTCATGGCCTGTAATAGTGAGCAACGAAATCGAGAAGGTGAAATATCATCGATCTTACCGGGTATTAATGGCCACTTCGGTTACGTCAGCGTCGTCCAGTATACATATGCTTGTGCAACAGATCTCACCTTAGCCAGGAACTCGCCTTTACTGCAGAAGAGGAGATAAAAGGTTAGTGCATGCGTTGCTTACGTATCGCATCAGAGTCTTACTGGTAGTGCAAGTCCTTTACTTTTGTCAGTCAGGTGTTCTTCTTGTCGTCTCTCACATGAGTTCTTTCTGCTTACCGTTCCGCATACACCACAAGCCGAGATTTTGACCTTCCATCAGTCAGTTCATTAAATTCCTTCTGGTGATAGTCGGTGTTTTGTACAAGGACATCGTCATCGCCAATGGCAGGAACATCGATAGTTTCAACTGCAAACTTTTCGGGTCCTGAGTATCTGATTTGACTTAGCAGCTTTTTCACCATGTTTTGTATTGAGCATTCCTTACTGTAGCGCCCTCATCTTCGCGGGCACATCATGGCGTTGTCGTTTTCTTGGTACTGTATGACCATTCATGATGAAGGTATATAGTGGTCTTGGTCCGTTCAGTCACGCCAAAGGTCATTGTGGGCTGTCACTGCTTATAAACACGATGAATTGGTAGTTATGTTTGTCTCGACACGAGCGCCAGGTTAGACGCGTGTGTGTAACGGGATGCGGGGTTCGGCAAACCTGCCTTATTAGCCGCAGCATCCGGGCTACTCTTTTGGGAAAATGTAACTAAACTACATGTTGTACTTGCCGGACTGCAAGCAGTTGACTTTAGCATAACGTTCTACATCAATTGAACTGCATTGGATTCTTCCGGGAAGGTATCTATTCCTTCAAACAAAAAGTGTGTAGCATGAACAGGCACTAGGTTAGTAGTACCGATCCAATCGCTTCACGTAGCATATAAGCAATATTCGAGTAGGGCGTGAACTTGTTGGGTACTTGTGATTGACTTCTGTTCCGCTTGGAAGCATCTATCGATAATACGTTGACATGAAGTACCCACTGCATGATGTCGACCCGTTCGCCATTGGCCTCCTGACTTACCGCCTCCTCATCGATCGTGCTCGCTCCTGGATCAAAACGAGTTTATCTTGGTCACCAGATATAGCGCGCTGGCTAGTCGATTGTGAAGTTGGTACTCGTCGTGGCCAATATCGCGTCCTTCACTAGGCCGCTATACAATGACTTGACCATTGGGAACGGTGTACTGTCGGGACGCTAGACGTTATCACTGGGTTTCAAAATCCTTTGCGACCGAATCACTCTTGCCGTACGTTGTCCACAAACGAGCAAGCTCAGGGAACCTTAGCGCCGATTCACATTCTGACCTTCTCGAGCCATCGGTTGATAGCCTCTTGGTTGGAAAGCAATGTCTGTTGACACAAAGCTTGTTCCTAGTCTCATGTTGGCCCTGGTCCTCCTTTACACATGTACTAATGCTCAACAGCTACCTACACATGGTGAATGGTGGTATTCAGTCTGCCGTGGCTCGCGACTCAACCAGGCCATGGTATGGTCTCCGCCGCACGCAAACGACTTCTTGGACCCCATCGATAGTCCGTGGGACGGTGTCATGCACCAAGAGCTTGCGCAATGGGGCTATACGGAATCGGAAAGGTCTCAATTATGCGATTATGGCACATTCTGGGGTCTTGGCAGGGCATTCGGAAGTCTTGGTATCGATCCACGATCAAACTTCAACCATGGGCCTAACAGATGCTTCCGTGTCAGCCATGGAGATACAACGAGGAAGCGACCAGACAGCCGACAGTGGCCGCTCTCCGAGCAAACCTACATCACCCCAGATGGAAGGGTTAACAGGGCAAGTTTACCTTTGTTTTCTTTCCCTTCGTCTTACTGATGTCTTTGCATAGGTGACAGGCGCCTTCTCCGACATTGGCATCAATCCTGATGCGGGCATAGTATTTTTCATGAGCAGAAGAAGTGCTGTCGAATCGGCAAAGATCCTTTGGCGACAAGATCCACCGTCGCGGAGGGATCTTCCAGCACTACGGAGTAGTTCTGACTTCGCGTGGGCATTCTGGAACCGAGTGCCGCATTTCACCCCAATAACAGCGTTTTGGAGCGTGAGCGTCAACAATCGCCAGACGCTGGATATCTTGAGCCTCGCCTTCAAGACTTATCAGCCGTCACCAGGGCAACAAAGAGTGAACAGTGTTCAAGACTGGCCTGGGACCGATTTTGAGATCACTTCTGTTGAAGCACTCGCTATCTTGGGCAAGTTCAGTCCTTTCACTATGGCGGCAGACTTTCATGCTTCCAGGAGTATTGGCAGATGTCTACACGCAAGGAGCTGACAAATACAGGTTCTCCGACAGGCATAGCAGCTGGCTTCTTCCTCGCCCAACACAAACGACAATTGGGAGGCAACAAGATGATCGTTAAGATCACGGTCTTCAAAGCCCTCCAGCCCGTCACAGATGACGAATTTCCAACCATGATTTTCTGGGTGCAAGACGCTCGCAACATTTATGGCGATATCAACGGGGCGCATTCGGTGAATGTCTCAGATGTGGTGGGGATCGATCGTATGTGGGAGTTCGGAGAGCCGAAGGTGCTCAAAAGGAGCGCAGATGGGAAGAGCGTAACTCGAGAGCATGTTGTTCGTGTCGATCTGTAGACGTGAGTTATGACGGAGCAAAACTTTGAGGTGATACAGGTGCAAGTAAAGGACATCCAGGGAAGACTGCATTCAATCGTTCCAAGGTTACTTGCGCATGCGATCTCGTATACAAGGAGGTATGCATTACGACATGAGAAATTTGGTACGTCTAAGATCGAAGCGCGTTTTTGCCAAATGAGGTACCTTTCGGAGAGTGGAGTTTGGGCTCACGTGCGCGACGTCGCGTCTGTAGCTCGGGTTACCTGCCTGTTCGGTTGACGCCAAGTCGGACAACGCGTCCGACGCGTCCGACGCTCCCGAGCTGTCTTACTGCGCCAGATGCTCAACACTAGCAGGCACACAGTGCGGCGCACTTCGTACTGTTCCCCTGGTGCCCTTTACGCCATTGGTGTCGTTGAAGCTTTACGGCTTGGAGTATGTGTCGCTGGCTTTGACAAGCACAGAACGCCATCAACGAATGCGGAATCGGAACAGTGCCAGACTTGCAATATCCTCCCATTGCCGACCCTGCATTGAGTCAAACGATTGGAAGCAGTGCTGACTCACCTCAGCGAGTGGTGTGAGTCTGCTTACAAGCTGCCTGCATCAGTATCTCACCAAGAATCAGCATATGCAGGTAATGCTTACATGTTGCCAACCTCTATTGCGTGCACAACAAGCGGCCCTATGAAAATGCAGAATTCGACTGCTGATCGCTATTGGCAAGTTCTCTAAACAGTACCAATAAGCAATTTAGGTGTTCAAAAAGAGATGTAGTTTAAACATAAAGATGGGAGTTGACTACCATGTTTGTTTGATCCGTTAGACAAAGTCTAAAGTCGACTTTTAATATATGCACAAATAGCACCATGCTGTTCAATACGCTTATTCCGGCGCTATCATTTACGGTATTTATCTGCACAGTATCGACGCCATTTTCGAAGTTTTGCTCACGTATTGTCGTATAGGCTGTCGTAAAGCTGCCAGCACGTCTACATTATCCAAGGAAATTTCAGGCGTTGTAGTAACGCTATATAGATTGTCGTCGGACCCACAGCGACAGGCTCAACGCAAATGTATGCAGATGTTGTTACCGGCATCTTAACCTCCGAGCCCAGTGTCAGTGTCACTATTCCTGTCGACATACGTATGGAACTAACGTGTAAGAAAGTTTGAGCCATCAGTCAAAGCCACGGCAATTCGTGGAGGTGACTGGATTTCTACAGACCCGCCGAATCCGAATTCAAATGCTACTGTGCTGAGACTCCATGTCGACGTGCTTGTCAAAGTTGATGGAAATGCAGAAGAAGATGCGTATATCCGGATGCGATGTACAGGCGCAGAGATTGCAACACCAGAAGTCGCTGCTATTGTAAGCGGCAACCGAGATGCCTCGCCCGTCAAGTTTGGTGACTTCCAGGTACGTTGTACTACTTCGTCAATACTGTCTTGATCCAAGTCGCTCACACATGGATAGGCAACGTCATCTTGGACGTTTGAAACAGCGAGTAAGAATTACTGGGAGTTACAGAATGCAGTCTTCGTGGGCAGCACTAGTCTACGTGTTGGAGAAGATGAAGGTACATTCGTTGTAGGCTTCAAGATTGCCAAAGTGTTGAGTGCCGAGACTGATGTCAGTATATAAACGGATAGCCTCTTCCTCCCTGAATGCGCTCTCGAGTAATCGTTCGTGAAAAGCATAATGATTGGAGCATTTCGCAGTATTACACCCTTTTCTATCAGGTACATTCAGGCAGACTCAAGCACGATCATAGTTTCTCTGAATGTTCGCGCAGCGATTGAATCAAGATTGCGAAACTTTCACGCGCTGACTTGAGTGCTGTAGACTACTTTTTCTTCCTCTGTAAAACATTATTTTCGTTGCCGCGCTAGGCACACTGGTTGCAAGTGAGCGTTCTGTGTCGTTTCCCGAGTCCCCTCTCGTGAACATCTCGTCACTCAATACCGCCGACCAAGACACCTATCCAGCCGACATCACGATCACCAGCGATACAGATTCCGAGCGACTCGTTCACACCTCTGCGACCAAAGACGCTGACTGGGACAAGTCCGTGTGTCGAGGCCGCAAACTCGTCGTCGCAATGACCCGAGATGCCAGCCAAGGTACACGCTATATCAACCCCCTATTTACACAGTGGGACGGCGATCTTGAAAAAGAGATGGTGGACCGGGGATGGGATAATTGGCAAGAACACAGAGGCTGGTGCGACTTCAAGGATAATGGATTGTCGCCGGCATTAAAAGCTCTGGGCATCGGTTACCAGCATGTCGACGACAAAGTCGATAACCAATGTTGGGTTGCGAATCATTCCGATGGTCCAGGTGTGCTCTTCAATCCGGACGACCCTGATGATATAGATGATTCGGACGATGAGATGCCGGCCATGGATGATCAGTATTATATGGATCCAAACGGGCAAAGAAAGAGGGTAAGTCGGATTTTCGTGCCCAGCTAACTAGCAAACTAAATTACGCATCATAGTCGTTCAGCAAGTCCATTAATTGACGCTGCTTCTAGTGCACAGGCGCGTCATACGCCATGGGCATCAACGTACCCGCCGGTGTCCTTTACTTCATCTCACGTACAGGGCCGCTAGAAGCCGCAAAATGGTTGTGGGAGAGAACGCTGCAATCTCACGAACTTCCCAATCTTAGGATGAGCTCCGTTCTAGCATGGAGTTTGTCTCACAAGATTATGTGGTCTGACGACCCTCTTAGCAATATCCGTAAGATATTCAGTCTATATTACCAATGAGGAGACGAATGATATCGTGGAAAAGGCACTTGGTATAGGGCCAACAGACGATATGAAGAAATGGCCTGGGGTAAGTTTCGATTCGACGTCGGAGGAGGGTTTGGCTATCCTTGATAAGCTCGTGCCTTCGTTGTAAGCTGTATCAGTCATACTGATGGAACTTTGTCGATAGGATCAGCCAATGGTCGCGCAGTGGGTTACTTCCTTGCTCAGCATAAGCATCAGTTGGGTGGAGACAAACACGTCTCCAAGATGACTGTCTTTGAGGATGAAAACCAGGGCAATCCGCATGCCACAATTCTCTTCTGGATCGATGATGTGCCTTCGCCACCGCCGGGGTTGCCGGAGCCTGGCGGGCCGCCTGGTGATCATCCCATGGACACTTCGCCTGGGATGGTTCAGTCAAAAGTTGTGAGGAGGAGGGATCATGGAAGGAGTATCACAAGGAAACACGTGATTTGGGTAGGACCGGAATGTGAGCTGGCTTTATTGGCGTCGTGCTTCGAATGGAAGGTTATGTACAACCTGTTCAAGATTACCTCAACAAATCCGGTCAAGGATATCTATTTTGTACTGTGGAATGCAACACCGTGTGTGAAGCGTTATTTGATTAAAAAATCGAGCTGACTGGTACTGGGAACTCTTCTACGCTCAAACATAAGACGATAAGCTTACCAACGCGATTACGAACCGATTGATTCAGGTATCTGTTCCAACTCCTGCGTCGCTGCCTCGTTACAACTTTGCCCAGACCTTATGACTCCTCACGATATTCTTTCCATCTTTGGATCGCTCTAACACTCGCCCTTCATCCACAAGATCACGCTTACTGAGCGCCAAACCAGTTCCTCCGCTCATTATCTCATCGGGGGGTTGCGGTGCTGGCCACGGTGCCGGTTTAACAACGAAACACAACCACGGCAAGATGCCCGTCATCCAGACTGGGTTCGCTGGTGAGCCCTGAAAGACGTGTATACTGGAAACATATCTGTTGTGACCAAACTGAGGCTTGTGCTGCCCAAGAAGGTATCCTATTGCTATTCCGTTCGGAGACCCTATACCAAACTTGTTAGTACTATGCGCATCACAAGCATCATGGGTTCACGATATACCTAATAAAGCCCAGTACTCAGAGGCTTCTCCAGCTACGAACTCAGTTCCTGGCCAGGTTCTGAGTGGTTGACCGTCCAAGGCCCTCAAAATGATCTGCCGAGTTTCTTTGTTGACAATCTGGTGGGAGTAGATGTAGTTGATATTACCCAACTTGCCAGGGCTCATTCTCTCCCACATGCCCCAGGCAATATCTGAACTCGACCTCAGCGCTGGTAGCTCGTTCTTTGGAACATTGTCAACTCCCCACTGATTTTTGGCCGCTGATTCTGGAGACTTGCGGTTGATCATATGGATGACGCCATCCCGCGCGTTGATGCCTATGGTGTAATAAGCGTTTGTGACCTTGAAGCTTACTCCGTCAACAGTATAACGTTGTTGGTTTCTGGGTGGCATCTGGCCGTTTGGTAATCGGTGAACGGTGGGGCCATCTCGGTGGACATAGGAGAAACACTTGTTCGGTCCGCCATACTGTGCACTTCCTGCGCCAATTCCTAGGGTCTGGAGGACACCTTCGAACATAGGTTTCATCGTGAAGTCGCACTGGTCCTGGATGTCCTCATTCATACTGTTGTCTTTATAACCCCAGGTCGTAAGTTCGTTTTCGAGGGTGCCAGTCCATAGACTGTTCAATGGAGTACCAAACCTAGCAGCGTTTACTGGATCGAGCGTATTCATTAGTTGGAGCTTCTGGCCGCGACAGCCGCAAGTCTGCCATAGAAAGTCATCAGCTGGGCCGGGAGGCGCTCTCTTGACTATGCTACCACTATCTTCAACGGCGAGACTCCATATGTCAAGTGAAGTTTCGTTCGGAGGGGGCGGCGGAACCTCGCCCACGACTAGACTGATGAGTGTGACGAGACAAAGAAGTAGTACGGTTCGCATGTTGCGGATCTGTTGATGGAAGTCGCGTGGAGAAACGGTAGATCAAAGGACAGAGAAGGTATATGGAGGAAGGGCGCTAGATGTGGTCATGTAGCGCGCACAAATTGTTTTCAAGCAGGAAAAGCCCAAGCTTTAGCCATTTGCGTCCAAAGTGAAGGCAGGTGGGAAAGACCAGAAGTCTTAGCGTGGCAAGCAAGACAGTGAAAGGCAAGGGTTGGCCCAAACTTAGAGCAAAGTGAGTTTAGAATGTCTTGGGGCTACCACGAGGCATCTGTTTGATTAAGCTGATATATCACGACCGAATTACATGCTTGAGTCGACAACATACACGAATGTGTAATCTGGAAAGAATTGCGCGATCATGACTTTATCCAAACCTTATGACTCCTCACGATATTCTTCCCATCACCGCTTCTCTTGATCACTCTACCTCCATCCGTGTTCGCGAGGGCTTCCATACCAGAACCCGGGGGCGGTACTAAAACATCCATCGGATCGGGTGGTGCAGTTGGTGGTGGAGAAGGCGCCAGGCCAACAGCGAAGATCATGTTCGATAGCGACGATCCGGTCTTGCGGTAGATGCGGATCCCCTGAACATAATAGTTGCTTCCCAACTGTGCCTTGTGTTGAGCAAGAAAATATCCTACCCCTATAGCGTTCGGACTACCTAAACCCAGGCATATTGTCAGCGCCGTTCTGAACTCAAAGCATCAGACACTTCGTTACGTATTGCGAGAAGACTTTTAGTGAGAACATACCCATCAAGGCCAAATAGTCCTCGGATTCTGGCGTGACAAGAAACCCAGGAGGATTCGGCGGCACTTCATCTAGCCCTTTGTTCTTCAGTATCCTGTCGATAACCTGCTCGGTTTCGCTGTTGATGATGGACATGGATGCAAAAAGTCTGATTTTGTTCAGTTTGTCGCCATCTTGAATTCGATTCCAATAGGCCCATGCTATATCTGAACTCGCACGTAGAGCGGGTAACTCATCAAGCGGAACCGGATCATCATCACGTATGCCCCATGTTTCGCGGGCCTCAGCTTGAGGGGAGCCCCGGTTGAGGAATAATATGTAACCATAGCTCGGGTTGATTACCATGGTGCCATGAGCGGCCGTGACCTAAATAGGGAAGAGCGTCAGTAAAGTGTGCGAAGACTGTAATAGTAGAGCTCCCTGGCGTGGGCTTACCCTGTACTTCCTACCGTCTTTAGTGTAGTACTGCTCGTTGAGAGGTGGGAGATCTCCATTTCCATCCCTCACGATGTCGCTGTTACAATGACTGTATGAGACACAATGGTTTGGCCCGCCATGGAGCGAGTTAGTTATTGGAATCCCCAGCGTAGCGAGGTATGGGGCGATCCCGCTAAAGTCGAAGAGATCTGGGTCTTTAAAGTTATCTTTGTAACCCCATTCTGCAAGCTCTTCCCTCATCTCGCCATCCCAGGGAGATGCCAAGGGATTCAGGAACCGAGCGGCTTCGGGTGGGTTTTGGGTCATTGCAAAAAGCAGTTTTGCTCCTCGACATTTGCATTGGTACCAAAGCTCATCGTCAGCAGGGTTGAGGTTGTCGTCGTCATCGTCGTCATCGTCGTCGTCGCTGTCGTCGTCGGGGTCGCTGCCTGGGTCAGACCTTCTTGCGCCTAAGATGAGGTTCTGGTATCCGGGAGATTCGACGCCAACATTGATAAGATTGAGCAGAATCTCAGTCGCGCCGAGAGCGATGAGACCCACAACGAAGATGATGTATGTGAGCTTCATGTTAAGGGTTTGGATATCTGAATGCCTATAGGTGGGTGCTTCGGTCTCAGAGCAAGGAAGAAAACAGATATAGCGTTCACCGGATGAGCGAGCTATACTAACGGCCGGAAATCAAGGTGAAAGACCGGGGTGCTTGGATAGACCCATTCCAAAAGCTGGTTCACTTACTGCGAGATTTGGGGTTGAATTGATTCTAAGTGAAGGGGGAAAAGGCGTTGAGATGAGGTGTCAAACAGGCATCTACCGACATCATCCCATCATCTTACCCATGCTTTCGCGTCAAAGCTTTGCCCAAATCTTATGTGTCCTAATGAAATTCTTCCCATCTTTACTCCTCCTCACTGCTTTTGCCTCTTCCATCGGAGAGCCAGGAGTGTCGTCCGGGTCAGGCATCGGTGGCGTGTGCTTGTCAATGTAGAAGAAGAGAGCAGGGTCATCATAATATTCGTCATCATCATCCCCCTTAAAGATCTTGATTTTCCAGATGAAATTGTCGCCACCAAGTTGCCTCTTGTGCTGGAGAAGAAAGTAGCCGGCTCCTAAGCCCTAAATGTGGGTATACAAAGTCAGTGTACGTCTCGTAAGTAGTTCGTGTACGCGTAATTACATTTGGCGAACCTAGAGAACGTCAGCGTGAGTAGTGTCTTGATAGAGAAGGACTAAAATGGAGTATGAGACTACACAGTAGGCGATATAAGGCGTACCAATAAGTGCGAGAGCAGCTTCAGCTTCGGCCCCTCCATTTGCTCCCACAATGAGATCAGTTCCAGGCCACTTCTCGACCTCAGTCTTTCCCATCGCTTTCAAGGCCCTTGGTATAATGACATCCACAGTCTCATCGTTGATGATGTTTAGAGACATGATCATTTTGATACTTGGTTCGCCTTCGATCCTGTTCCACATCCCCCAAGCTAGGTCTGAGCTAGAGCGAAGTGCCGGCAAGTCGGCTTTGTCGATTTGCTCCTGATCCCAGACCGTTTGGGCCGATTTCTCAGGTGAAGTGCGGTCGAGGAAGTAAACAATACCGTCTTTCCGGTTTATGCCAAGTTTAGAATAGGCGCCCGTGACCTGTTATGCTATCAGAATTAGCCTGCCGGATGATTTGAATTTGATGGAGCTACGCGCGTCTGACCCTGTAGATCTTTCCGTCCGCCTCGTATCGCTGCTTGGATATACTGGGCATTTCCCCATTCTTGTCCAGGATGATCGTTGATCCAAACCTATGCTCTAACATGAAGCAGTGGTTCGGCCCACCCTTAAGTGCCGAACGCGGGTCAATACCGAGAGCATCGAAAGCACTCCTTATATGATGCTTCGAGAAGTCGCATGAGTTGTCGTTCATCGCGTGATGATTGTCGTCGTCGAGATATCCCCATTTTCTTAGTTCAAGCTTTAGGTCGCCGTCCCATGGACTCTGCGTGTAAGGCCACCCCAGCATCCTCGTTGAGTCTTGTTCGTCGAGGGACATGGCTTTGACAAGCGCGGCGCCACGACAATATGCCTTGTGCCATATTGCATCGTGATCTGCGGGATTGACGGTGGCAGTCAAGAATGTTGAGCTTGAGTTGACAATGGTGAGATTTTGATGTAGGTCCGGTCCAGGCGCAATTCTACTCGCCACAGAGGCGATGAGGATAGCAAGACGACAGTAGAAAAAGAGCTTCATACTCAGCTATTAGTCTAAGTCGTGGACTTCGAAGGAAACGAACAAGTTGTATTAAATCCAGGGGAATTTGCTAAACCCCGACGACCTATAAGAGCAAGGGCAAGGCGAGCGCCATGACGCAATACAACAAACGGAGCGATCGTTCCCATCACGAAGTGAATACAAGGATCCATGTAGAATCTCGACCTAGTGCGACCCTTGTTGTCTTACACACTCCACTTCTTCTTCAAGGCCGCGACTTGAGTCGCGTTGACGCCTAGTACACTCCCGTGCCTCAAATTCTGAGGCCAGGCACTCCGGTCACTCGCTGTCCATTTTCCACCCTTCACGTCAGAACTTTCATAAGGTCTGTATCCGTCTGCTCCATAGAAGTCAAGCAACAAATGCGCCTTGCCAGCAACTTGATTATCCCAGTAAGGTGCAGGACCTAAAGTTTGGTATACGAGGTCAGTATGTGTCTCACATTCAATTCGTATAGGGACATGACTAACCCTCTACACCAGAAGCGATAATAGCGTTAGCGCCTGCAGGCCTAGACCAGGTACCAAACAGCCCATTAGTAGAGATTTCTGTGAAAACAGTCTTTGCACTTTCATCCTTCAAGAAGCGCGCGTATGCATTGTTTCCCAGGGCCAGAAATTCCTGGTCAATAATATTGGTAGGTGATCGGTTGATGTAGTCCTGGGGCGCACTGAAAGTCTTGAAATCTTTGGTGTACGCGTAACGGATTCGAATCGATGAAGGCGCACCCGTATGTTGCGGGTCGGAAGTAGGGTAAAATTTGCTAGCCCAGTGAACGAAGTATTGGCCCTTGGCTTCGTCCCAGATTGCACTGGGTGCCCACACCATACCTGCTGTAGAGTCTTCAACGGTGACAAGACGTTCATTGGTCCATGTTACAAGATCGGTAGACTCCCAAACGAAGATTCCACGAGAGCCTGTACGTTGAGATGCATCCCATGTTGTCTTGCCAATATCAAGGTCTGTGCCAATGATGTACCATTTCTTGCCAGCTTCGGCTGCTCCACCAGATATGATAGCTGGATCACGAACGCCCTGAGTACCTTTCGTAGGAATTATAACAGGTTGGCCCTTGTTCATGGCAACCATGGAGTTTGCATTGTTGCCATTGGAAAGGTAGAAGTAGACAGAGGGCTTGTCACCAAGGAAGAAGACGCCAAGGTAGTTCGTAAGGGAAGAATCGGCACGTGGCGCTATGCCGTACCTTGCGAAGTCGAGAGTCTGAGACGGAAGAGCGAGGACGCTAGGGAGCAGGGTGCACAGAGTGAGAAGACGCATCGTGAGGGAAGTTTCGTGAGTTCGGAAGTGACGAGTGAAAAAAAAAAAGGCTGTAGCGACAGTTTATAGAACTCTTTGGACAAGTGCCCGTCTAGCTTTGCCACGCAGTCCGTGTAAAGTACCATGACCCGAGCATCCCGCAACGGCTGTCCCTCCCAAGAAGGCAAGGTACCCAGGCCTCGGTGGATTTAGAAACATCAAGTCAGGAAATCGAACACATGTGCGGGGAAAATCCGGCATTACTTCAATAAACCCCGGTTTGGCAAGAGGGTGTGGGGTTAGATTAGAGTTGTATACGAAGGATGTGGCATTTCTCCGGCGCTACCAGTTTCCAAGACGCTACGTGAGCAGCCTCGGCAGTTCGGACAAATGCAGTGCCATAACAATGTTGCGATTAACTATAATAATAAGCTCGTGAAACTTTCGTGGTTGGCTACCGATGCGACTAACCATGTTCTGGGGTACATGAGATCCTAGCAGCTTTCCGCGTGACCGGTTAGTATTACAACACTGCGCCCAAACGTCATAGTACGGGATGCAGCGCAGCACGGCGTTGTGGTTTGTATGCCGCGATTGCTATTGTGAAAATGTGTGAGATAGTCATTCCAGGCGTGGCTCAGTCATCATCGCTGTCGTAACCAGCTACAAGCATGGTGGATAGTTTTGAGGGTGGCGCAGCAGCTTTCGTCTGGGGCGCAGGAGCCGATGCAGGCGTCTTCTTCTTGATGCCTAATGCGGCGCTGAAGTCTTTCTTTTCCTTTGGCTTCTTGGTGAAGGTTGTGACCACAGGTACTTCGACAGGTGCATCGAACATATCTTCATCGATTGTCTCCTCGCCGATATCAGGCATGCTCCGGTTTGAGAAGGCTTGTCGTGCAGCCTCTGCATCTTCTTCCTCTTGCTTCTTCCGTCGCTCGTCGGCCGCATCGGGCGGGACATCGGTTCCTTTGCCTTCGCGGTCTGCCTTCTCCAGTCTAGCGTTTCTCGACCGGATCTCGTCTAGAGCATCTGCGATGGCCATCTCTGTCTTCGCATCGTGGACTTTTGATTCGAGTTCCTTCATCGCATCGCGCTCCGCTTCCTCTCTCTCTATGCGATCTAAGCGCTCTTCTTCGGTCTCTTCGTTTAGCTTGGCCTCCCTCCATGGCTCGAAGTTTCTCTTTGCGCCACGCTCGCATTCGTAGTCCATGTTCTTGGGGTCGGTCTTGAAGGTGATCTCGCCGGAGCATCGCGTGCATCGGATGTAGAAGCGGAATATGGCGATGTTGTAGTACTTTTCATCCGTCGTCTCTTTGCGCGCGTTGAACTTGCGCCCTTTGTAGATGAACTCGCCGCAGTGGGTGCACTTCATGGAGAAAGGGGCCATGAGACGGACTGTCATCAGCTTGGGACCGGCATTCTTGGGACCGCGTTGACGCGTGATCTTCGAGGGGTCGAAGTCTGGTGGGTAGTACTTGGTGAGCACTTTTCGTTCAGACATGGCGGCGGATTATGCGAAGTCGACGTTGATCGGGAATTCGGGATAGTAGTTTTGGGATCCAGAGGCGTTTTGTGTTGTGTGAACGAAGACGTCGCGTGATGCGGCCGTGATGTGGTAGCGGATGCTGAGTGTCGGAGATCACGTCTAGGTGAAGGCGACCTTGGAGCGGAACTTTTGGCTGACTAAGGCGGCCCGCTGCTGCAGGAACCCCGCAAACATGTGCTCTCGCGTCAGGTAAGCGCGACCCTGGCACCATCACCGCGCCGCCGCCTACTGCAACCTCGACTGGAGACACGTTTTTTTCTACGGAGAAACCTGCTGACCTGCCTAGACAGACTCTGTCCGATGCAATAGCAAGATTATGGAGAAATATCTTCGTGAGTGGCGCCAAGAAGCCCTCAACCGCTGCCAGTACGACACAGCCATCTTCGTCGCAGACAAACTGCTGGCCTTGACAGGTATGAAGACCGCATCTTTGGATTAGCGCATACTGACGGGATATCGTAGATGACGACCAAGATGCATTCTGGCTAGCCCAGGTACACTTCACCACCGGCAACTACAACAGGACGCAATCACTCCTGGCACGCGGAAACCTCGTCGAACGCACACCACAATGTCGATACCTCGCCGCACATTGCTCCCTAAAGCTGGGCAAATTGGAAGAGGCTCTGAGCATACTGGGCGACAAGAACCCGACTCATCTCATCTCAGCGCCAGGCAACACGCGTACCAAACTGCGGCATGTCGATGTCAACACACGGGCAGGCGCAAGACAGAACAAGAACGGCTCGCGCAACGAGCGCTTACCCACCAGCGAGGAGCGTGATCGGGAGGATGTTAACAACATCAAGTCGGAAGCAGGCATGTGCTATCTGAGAGGCGTATGCTATGCAAAGCAGAATTCCTTCGATCGGGCCAAGGAGTGCTACAAGACAGCGGTGCAGATTGACGTGCAATGCTTCGAGGCCTTCGATGCGCTCATGTCCAACTCACTCATGGCGCCCGAGGAGGAGTGGAAGTTCTTGGAGTCGCTCAACTTCGACACCATCAACGTCACCAACAACCCTTCGCTATCGCAAGAGGCGGCTTCGTTCACCAAGACACTCTACACCACACGATTGTCCAAATACACCAGACCAGAGGAGTTTGCCAACGCGACCGAGACACTCACAACCCACTACAATCTTGGCGAGAATCCAGATATCGTCCTCTCCAAAGCCGACCTCATGTTCACCCTCTGCCGCTTCCGTGATACCCTTGCCCTTACATCAGCCGTCCTCGCCAACGACAAGTACAATTTCAACATCATGCCTATACACATAGCGTCCTTGCATGAGCTCGGGGAAAAAAACACTCTGTTCCTGCTTGCGCACGAACTCGCGGACACGAACCCCTCAGAACCATGCGCTTGGTTTGCTGTCGGTACCTACTATCTCGCCATCGGTCGCATAGCTGAAGCACGCCGCTACTTCTCCAAGTCCTCAATGATGGATCCACACTTTGGCCCTGCCTGGATTGGTTTCGCGCATACTTTTGCCGCAGAAGGAGAGCATGATCAAGCCATCTCTGCCTACTCTACCGCCGCACGCCTCTTTCAGGGCTCGCACCTCCCACAGCTTTTCCTCGGTATGCAGAACCTTCAGTTGAACAACCTCAGCCTGTCACGAGAATACTTGAAGACGTCATATGATCTGTGCGAGAACGATCCGTGTCTTCTTAACGAGATGGGCGTTGTCTACTTCCACGAAGGACAGCTGCTAGACGCTATACAATTCTTTCGCCGTGCACTGGCCTTCTCGGAACAAAATGAAGCAGATCCGGATGCTTGGATTCCCACACGGATAAACCTTGCCCACGCACTTCGAAAATGTGATCAGTTTAACGAAGCACTTGCGACATTTGACGAGGTTCTTCGCCACGGCAACAAGGACCCTAGCGTCTTCACCGCGAAAGCACTAGTGCTCCTGAACCTTCATCGAAATTGGGATGCCATCGTTACCTTGCACGAAGCCCTCGCCGTCTCGCCCCAGGACCCTATGGCTACAGATCTCCTCAATCGCGCGCTGGAGATGAACGAGTCAGAAAGTGGGCTCCTCGAATCTGGACGGGCTGACATGGCCGAGGGTGCGGACGAAGACGAAGAGATTGAAGAGTTAGAACGGAGAATGAATGGCAAGCTGCGTGAGATTGAACAGAATCGCAGTGCGGGCAGGCGAGGTCGTAGGAGACGGCATGCACAAGGCGTAGCAGACGAAGACCTTAGCGCTTTTGGAGAAAGTATGGTGGTCGACTCGGATGAAGGCTAGTACTTGCTGGCTTCTTTTTGGATATACAAGCAACAGCCATGGATTTGAATATCCCTCATAGGCAAAAAGGCAAGGTACTGCAAAACTACAGGATCACGGTCGGGCGTCACATGGGCTTTGGATCATGGCATAGCGTGGAGTGAGTGGAGTCTGTAAACATCTTTTTCTGCATAACCGATACCATATCACAAGCGTTTGTTCTTCAAATGCACTTCATTCTTGCAATTCTGCAATGACTCCTTGTGCCTATTTACGCTAATGTCTCAACCCTTTTCTCGCAAAAGCCCCCCCACTCGTGCTTATGATGAAACCATCGTGCTTACATCGACTACGAGGAGGTTGGACGCTCCCATGGAGTTATACTTGTGTGTGGAATGTAATCCGAATTACGAAGTGATTAGCTCCAGTTACTCCATTTCCCAATTCGTCAAAGTCACCATTGACTGTTTCGGTAGATATAGCTGGGTTTCTACTTGACATCACCTTGTCGGTAATCCTTTCGTCTTGATCACGCTGTCGACATTTGGGATCAGGTGGGAGAGACTTCCAGCGGGTCGCTTGCGTATGACTACTGTCTACTGATTGTCGCGAAGGTCAGAAACGGTACCGAATCTGGCTACGGTCAGCGGATCAACAAATGTAGATCAAAGGTATCTAGCTGTTAACTCACATCCTTGAATGATAACAAGCATAGCTCAACTTGGTCCTTCAGAGGGTGATTTTCTCTCCGTACGGAAATACCAGGACAAATCTTGCGATAAAGTCAGTCCATTAACAGAGGTAAAGGTAGCGCTGCTTGATTCGCACCTTTGGCATATCCCCATCTTTGCAGTACTGCCTCAATCCCTTTCCTTGTAGTTTTCCTTGCAATTTCCCTGCTCTTTCCCTTCTCCAGTAGAGTATCATAATCGGTGTGCATATGACGTACATGCGCAATGACAGCAAGCAAGACTTTCCGCGATAACGGTAATGAGCTTGTTCGACCGACTCTCCCAGAATGCTTCTTGAAGCCGTGCCTAAGTACCGTTTCCTTGGCCGCCACAGGTATCTTCGGAAACTGAACGTCTACTTCGGCAGCTGCCTTGGCGATATCAGTAGCATCGCGTTGCGCTGTTGTAGCGCGGCGAGTAGACAGCGTTTGTTTTGCTTGAGTGTGAATCTTGTGCAGGACACTCAGAGGGACACGAATCCCGATCGTCTTGTTCTTATCTACAACAATGTATAACTTCCGGCCCTTTTCATGAGTAAGCTTGCGGCTGTGGAGCGTCTTGTACCGGTCGCCCTTCGGAAGATAGCCATATTCCTTTGGCATCGGTGTTTTTGTTGTCACCTCAATCTCTTGACGCATGGCTACATAGAGCGGGCTCAATACTTGTGTGACTTGCTGGCGCCTGGGTCGTCAAACAATGCAAGCCTGATTCTATTGCCTACTCTTTGTCGTCTAGCGCGCTCAAGCGAGATAAGTGCAAACAAAGGGGGCTCTGAAGCATTGTTGATGAGGAAGCGCGTCGAGACGCGTCGACTCGTGGATCGACAAAGAATCTGCGTCATCGACATCAGGCGCTAAGCTAGAACAAGCGCACACATGTGACAGCGTGCCCAGGTGTCTAGTAAACGTTCAACGACGTTCTCACGTCTAAGACCTCATAATTCCATCTATCTTAATCCTGTCGTGCAGAGGTATTCCTCTGTTTCACTTCCCGCGCGTCAACACGTAGTTGAAGATGATGATCGCTCCTCCCCCGCGGTCCGGATCAATCGGCACCCAAGTGCTAAGTTTGGCACTCAGGAGCGTTGGTCCCACATGCGGTCGCCAATGCGCGGCACAGCTGAAGCTTACCCGACTCCACAGCAGCCACGAACAGGCACCATGACGACGCTTCAGTGGCACCTATAAAACCTTCAGCCACACTTATGGACCCCTACTTTTCGCAGTCTCGACCTCCATCCTTGCTTTTGGATTGTTCTAAGCCGTTCTGGTCATGCAAATCAAACCCTTGAAGAGATCGGATACGACACTCAGCGACGATACTGAGCTTGCGAACATCACATACAACGACAAGTATGTTGTCGTGTATGACTTTGGGGGCGTCGGTATGTTCTGTGTGATCACGCCCTCGAGGCGGCTGGCTGACAACCGCTAGATGCCGATGTCGCCATTGCGGAGTGCAAGACGTTGTTGCATGATCTAGAGGCTGCAGGCCTCAATACTGAGGTGCGCCCGGGCTATGACCAAACATTGCTGGTATTTGTGCAAGCGCCTAGAGACCTGCTTGGCAACACCGTTTACAAATCCCGGTACGTGGAGCTGTCCATGGACTATTTGCCCCAGCACAAAGCTTACTGGTAATCTTTACAGAGTCAAAGACTGGCTGTATGCTATCACCAAGAATCATCCTGGCGGTACTGCAAAGACTGTAGTCAGCGCAGCTTTCGAAGCCGAGGACCTGCTGTCAATGTATCACCTCGTCAACTGGCGCAAGGAGCTTGGAGGAGCAGGTATCACTCCAGGATTTCCTCCATGGGAAAATGTGACTTCCATCTTCCCATTGCACAACCAAGGTGCGAACCGCGCATTGCTGGCGCATCTGAGCACACGTGTGTTCTTGGAACCAGCAGACCTAGATCGTATCCGTGATCTGTGGGGCGCCAAAGTTGCCTTCTACTTCGCCTTCATTCAGACTTACTTCCGTTCTTTGGCATTTCCGTGTGCTGCTGGCATATTTGCTTGGGCATTCCTACCAAAATACTCTCTCTTCTTTGCACTGCTCATTGGTGTCTGGTGCACAGTGTTCTTGGAGTATTGGAAGATTAAGCAAACCGACCTTGCTATTCGATGGAACACACGAGGAGTAGGTGATCTCAAGGTGAACCGCCCACAATTCCGTTACGAGCAAGAGATTATCGATTCAGCCGGGAGGGTACGACATGTATTTCCCAGGTGGAAGAGGATTGTGCGGCAGCTCGTCGTCGTACCATTCGTCCTCATTAGTGCTTTGTTCCTTGGAATTCTTATCGCTTTTGTCTTCACTATTGAGACATTCATCGGCGAGGCATACGAAGGTCCCTACAAGTTCTATTTGGTAAGTACACTGCCGAACGTTGCTGAATAAACCTAATTGCGATCTAGGAATACTTGCCTACTGTTCTTCTCGCCGTCTTCTTACCATATGCGACAAACTTCCTGGAAGACATTGCTACTGCATTGACAGAATACGAGAACCATCGAACAGCTGATCATTACGAAATGTCGCTGACACAGAAGATTTTTGTGCTCAACTCGATCACAAATTACCTGCCAATACTTCTCACGGCATTCGTCTACGTACCTTTCAGCGGAAAAGTTGTACCGTTATTGCAGAACGTTATCGATGCGACACTAGGCGCGCAAAACAGGTCGAAGACAGTATTCAAAGCTGATCCTGACCGGCTGCGCAATGAAGTCATAGCACTCACCGTTACTGGACAGGTGTCAGGCGCAATAGAGGAACTTGCGCTGCCCTGGTTGAAGACGCAATTAAAGCAATGGTGGCGCGACCGACAAGCTAAAAGAGCGCATAACCGGAGCAGCGACTCATACGTAGGACCAATGGAAGAAGATCCTGCGGAGTCTCGTTTTCTGCGCCGCACAAGGAGGCAAGCGTTAAGGCCACCATACAATGTACAGGAAGACATTGCAGAAATGGTCATTCAGTTCGGTTACCTTGCACTCTTTAGCCCCGTGTGGCCTCTGGTACCAATTGGCTTTTTTATCAACAACTGGATCGAGTTACGGTCCGACTTTCTGAAGATCTGCGTTGAACATCAGCGTCCTCACGCGACACGTAGCGACGGCATCGGACCATGGGTAGCTAGTCTAGAGTCGTTGACATGGCTGGGCAGTGTTAGCAGTGCTGCCATCGTTCACATGTTCGGTACCCAGCGATTCCTTGGCGAGTATCTTGGCTTGAGTACATGGGCTAGTCTACCGGTCACCATCCTTATTTCAGAGCATATCTTTATGGGTTTTAGAGCTGCTGTACGATTCGCATTATCCAGGATTGGCTCTGAGCAAACGCGGAAGGAGAGAGCTGAGCGGTATGCGAGGAGAAAGAAGCACCTGGATGAGCTTGAGGCCACCGCAGAGAAGAAGTCACATCTTGATGTGACCGAGCGGGAGAGGCGGAAGAGTGTTCGCATCAACGCAGCCGACATCTTCTGGACCAAACAGGCGGACACGGGTGCAAGCGCGGACGCAGGCGTTAGTATCATCAAGGCGTTGAAGACCGCGCAGCAGGATAGCATCCTTACTGGGCGAGAAAACAAGATGGACTGAAGTGCAGTGTTAGGATAGGTTGACAAAGAGCTTTTTCATTCTCTCCGTGTATGTACAAATTCCCCAACCACCAATCAAAAAGATATATACAGAATTTCACACCATCAATGGCATGCGACAGGCTTACTTGAGAGCAGCAAGAACAGTGTTGTAAGCAGTCTTGGCGTTGTAGTTGGAGTCGAACAGGAGCGGGTTGCCCTGAGGCCTCCAGGAGTCGGAGTCGCGGACACCCCAGACGGTGATACCAACACAGTTGCTCTGGTTCAAGCAAGCCTTGACAACGTTGGTCCAGTCGGATTGCTGGGCGTTCTGGATGTCGACCTCGGTGAGCGCACACTCGGGAGCTGCTCCGCAAAGTGCGGCCATGGCAGCTGGGGCGTTGGCACCCTGGCCAGATTGCAAGTGACCTTGAGAACCGATACCGTCGATAGGGATGCCGGCGGCGATCCACTTCTTGACGTTCCTGACCATGGCCTGGGTCTTCGCGTAGGAAGCTTGGTCCAGGCTGAGCATTTGTTAGTATGATAACATTCCGCATGAGAAGTTGTGCTTACTTGTAGTCGTTGATGTAACGCTTCGCGGACGGGTCCGCAGCCTTGGCTGCCTCAAAGGCAATACGAACAAAGTCCTCGCCGAGGACGTTGTAGAAGACACTGGCACGGAAGTTGCCGTTCTCCTCGAACTGATGGATAGTCAGTACCTGTGCTGGGTGTACTCTCCCCACGAGTATGTACGTACCATCTCGTTGATGACATCCCAGGCGTAGACCTGGCCCTTGTAGCGGCCCATCAAAGAGCTGATGTGGTTCTGCATGACAGTGGTCAAGGTGGCCTTGTCCCTGATGGAAGAAACCCAGCTGGGCAGCTGCGAGTGCCACACGGTGGTGTGACCGCGGAGGAGCTTGCCGTTGTCCTTTGCGAACTTGGCGGTCTGGTCGGCAGTGCCGAAGTTGAACGAACCACGCGAGGGTTCAGTGGCATCCCACTTCATGCTATCCAGCAGTCAGCTCTGCATACATTTTGCTTCGGGGCTCCATGAGACTCACGAGTTCTCGGGTGTGATTTGACCGAAGTTCGCCTTGATGATGGCACCGTTCTTTCCACTGTTGAAGCGGCCTGGGTCGGAGCAGGTACCAAAGTACTTCCTGCCCTTTGCCTTCATCGCAGCATCGATGCTCTGAGCAGCCTGGCGCTCATCGAGGAAGGCTTCGGGCTCAGCGAAAGGCGCAGCCGAAACCAGCGCGGTGGCGGACAAGATGGTGATGAGAGAAAGCTTCATGGTGAATTCGAGTTATCGAGACTGTTACTTGACTTGGAGACTGTAGAGAACGTTGGTGGCCGGATACCTCAATATTTTGTCAAGCCTCAGCCTACTTATACCAAATCCCCAATTCCCTCGGCCCTATCCAGATATTGCAGACCAGATTAGCGATGTCTCCACCCTCCCTCTCATTACGAACAATATCCATATACCATACCGACCTCGGTTCCTCCTGCGCATCCACCGCCACCAGTATGGGGAAGAGTGCATTAGCTCCAGGACAATTACCCACACGCAGCAAGCTGCGGAAGATTAATCTAATGCGCCACGGTGTATGCAGGTGGTCGATCAGCCTTTACCCAAAGCGCACCCTTTGCCTCCCCAATGCAGTATAAACGACGAAACAAAGCTGTTTCACATTAATCTAAATGAAGCTTCCGGCGCCGGTTCTTGTCATCCTTAGCACCGTCCTAATGTTCTTTACAGCCAGCTTGGCACCTTTAATCGCGGTTAAATGCAATGTGCCACAACAACCGATCCCTGCATACACGCTAGGGAGTTGCGTCACGGGAACGTGGTTCTAATCCTTTGGGATCTGATATGAGTCTTGGGCGTATTGCCGGTGCCAAAAGGTGTTCACTGAGGATTTGGGTGCCTCTATTCGTGGAGAATACAGATTGATGAACGTGGGGCGGTAAGCGATTACGCGCCGTTAGGGGCACTTCATCCGCTGTGGAGTCAGATATGGGGAGCATATCCGGGGAAGGACTAGATTAGGTTGTGCCTTCTATCCGGGGAAGACAGGTTCTCAAGGGCTTGGTGTTGCGCTGACCTGGTACGTTCGTCGTCGTTCATCACATGCAATCACATTCATAACAGCCTCGAGTAACATACCATGTCAGTCATCTGCATGTTTTTGTTGTGAGGTGTGGTCTAAAGGTGGCAAAATATTTGTTCTTACATGTGTAATGAGCCTCGGTCATTTGAGGAAAAAAGCATCTTCATATTACACTACATCACAGCCAACAGCTCAAAGATGAATAGCTTCTCCGAGCTATAACTTCGAGGAAGATATGGGTCGGCTGATTAGGAGGCAAACAATACTCCCGGAAGTGTTCTTCCCATGTTATTCCTATTCTCCCTGTCCCTTTATCACCTTGCATACAACCGTTGACGCTTCCTCGACATTCGAATTCTTTTTTTTTCTTCACAGAGCGACAGCCCTGTACGTTGTGGAAAATCATGTTTCTGTAAGATTCGATTTTACGAGGGCGCACCGTGTAAAAACTGCAATAGGAGATATGGTTGTTGAACAATTCACGTTCTCCACGTAAGGATGTGTCTGCTCATCAGATCTCATCGGTTTAAGCAGAGGCACTCTTTACCGCCAATTGGAACCTGTCATAGCGACGGAAGATCTAATCTGGGCTTTCGGACTATAATCCCAGGATAATTAGATGGCCTTTGCACCCACTCGCTTCTCTCGCATAAACCGATTGACCAACCTGTGACTAAAAGGTTTTGAGAGAGCGGGTGATGATCGTTGTATGCATAGCTCGTGGGCACCTTATTCTACTCGTGTCCGTTTTCGAGCTCGAGTTCTCGATGAAATTCAATAGGCGCAACGTCATCGAGTAGCTGTGGATATGGGTTATTTCGAAGGTCACTTAACTCTCGAGGTCATCTCGGAATTAGTGGGCGACTCGAGATGGGTGTATGCGTGATCTACGGTGGATTCGAAGAGAAAACGAAACATATACACCATGATTCCAAATTCTTAGAGTGAGAATGGCTGTCTAGGGTATCGTGAAAACCTGCTTGGAGCTTGACTCTGCGTAGGTGAGCGAAAGAGCTACACTGACCAATTGGCACTTGTTCTGGTTCAAGATAGCGATTATGCCACCCACTCATTATTCTCGATTCTACTGTAGATTTGTTCTCGATATCGTAAGGTAGGTTGAGTAATAGCCTCGGTCTGCACGGCAACCATTTTGCGCTGGACATTCTTGATGAAGGGTCTTGGTCGTCGACGATAGATGTTAGTGAATCTGTGATGTTCTTAGGTTAGATGTCTGTTGTGTTATGACGATCTAGAATGTAGCACATGAGTATCAGTACGAAGGGGGACGGCGGATGTATTGTCGCAACGGCGCAATACAACTAAGCCTAATGTAGCATTTCACAATCAACTTCGTAGTGAGTCCAAGATAGAGATCATCAGTCTGTGCACAATTACCAAAATTCTTCTTTATTCATTGGCGGTGCCAAGACAACAGCAAGACAAAGTTTTTGAAACATTTCGAATTCGTTATTCATTCATGATACACCTATCCAAACAGAAACCAGGAGATAGTCTAGTCACCCCAATCATTAATCTATCTGCTGACTATTAGCCTTGTCCTCATCGTGATGATGTTGTACGTACACACATTTATTTATCACTCGAGACCTAAATCCAAACGCCTAACCACTGCTGCAAGTGCATCCTTTCCTCTTGGCAGGATCCACGCTTGGCCAACCCACACAGATAGCGCCTCCTGAGCATACCCGGCCGCTAACACCACAGTTGTCTTTGGCGCAGGGTCCAGAGTAGCCCTGGGGAAGAGGATCGGGCATAGCGACAGCGACGCTAGCGAGGAAGGTAGCCATGATGATAGAGAAGCGCATATTGGCGATGTGAGGTTGAAGAGGAAATCGATTGGAGTAGTAGTTGTGATGTCGTTGGTGTCGTGGTGAAGTTGGGCAGCTTTATAGGAGAGAGGACGGCAGAATCTGGAAAACTCGGTGTCCGTAGTACAGTAATCGCGCAGGTGTCGTATGCTGCTCCTGAATGGGCAATGGGAGGGTGTTCGATTAGAGGTGCGATTGAATTGTGAAGTAAGACTTTGATGTGTTGTAAGCTGAGTTCGGGATGGGGCGTTTACCCTTCCTTCTTATACACTCATGTCAAACCTCAAGTGACGTGTTTAGTCTTTTGACACAATACTCAAAACATGTTCACGAGACCAGAAACAGGAAATGTGGGTATTCGATCGCTAGTCGATAAGACCCTAGTGGGAAAGGTCCAAGAATGAAAAGAGATGCAGGCGGGGATTGCCCTCCGCGACTCCGCTTGGGATGACGCACATCGCGTCGCTGGAGCGTGGAGTCGTATCATGGGTCACCGGAAACAGGCGTTTTGTTTGGCTGCTTCGACAGGGCAGCCCTAGATTTTCACAGTGCGGCTCTAATCCGGGACGATCTAAGGCCTTGAAGTCAATTGTCTTTGCGTGCCACGGACTTGGCTCCTTGGCTGGCAGTGGGCGGTAAGCCGATAACGTGTAGATCGTAGGCAGTGCTTGAGTAATCTGGCTATGAATATATCCACTGCGGTATTTTTCGTAACAGCCTTACGCGTTTGTCTCACGCAAAGAATGGCGATGCTCTTGGTGGGGTTCAAGGTACTGTTGATGATCTTTCCTATGGTGTTGAAGCCGGACTCGTGTGTAGATTGCCGAGAGGATCCCGGAGTCACGCAGATCCCAAGAAAGCCAAGATTATGCCTTAATTGCGATGCAACACTCAAATGTTCTTGTAATACGTAGGTGGATTTAGGGGGTGCATGTTGAGAGTTGGTGAATAGATGAAACGCGGTTGTGTATACAGAATGTACATGCGAATGTACATGCTGAGAGGCCTGGCACATCTTGGAGCATCGTCATAGCCGGCTCAGCATATGTGGGGTAGATGGCAGTGCATGCTTGGGGAGAGTAAGAATAGATGAAGAGAGGCCGACTGAATAACAAGAAGCAAGACACTGACTAGGGGGAGATGAATGCATCCTCACGATGCTCGGTTTCGCAGGTGTAGAGTGACAGAGAGATGGTTGGTTGTCGACAATAGAGCATGTGCTTTACGCGTCGGGTAACGCGTGCCTGCCTTATCTCCGAGCTTCAGGCATCACTCGACCCCATCTTCCCCACCATCAGCCAACACCATCACGAACACCTAGATGTCCACTCCACAAGTGCAAGTACAGTATGACGAACAACAATGACAATAATCGACGCGATCACACCCGACCCGAAGACAACCCCTTCATCGCCTTCCGCCGCTTCGCTGATTCCCAGGTCTCGTCGCTCCTCAACACCGTCTTCACGCTTCCCGCCACCATCGCGAACTACAACAACGCGCATCACGCACGCGAGCAATGTCTTTTTGGCAAGGCCGACGAACGGCAGTGTGCCAAGCTTCGCGACATTGAAGCTGACATTGCCGAGCTGCGAAATGAAGGCCGAGAGTTGTTCAGGGTTGGCGATGTCCAGGCTGTGTTGCGCAATAGTGAAACCCTCATGAAGCTCGATCGCAAAGCTGATGACATAAGAAGAGAGATACTTGGCGATGCAACAAAGAGCGAGGAGCCGCAGATCACACGACAGAACGATGCTGGCCTCGTTGAAAGGGTGGCCAACGAGAAGGGTCAGGAGTGGGGATGGTCGTGGGACTGGGGCTTTCCTCGACCTTTTGACAACGAAAACAGGGGCTCATCGGCAGCCTCTGAAGAAGACGGGGCCAGGGAGTGGATGCAATTAGAAACATTGCTGCGGATGCAGGCAGAAGCGAGAAGACTGGCCGAGGATTTCAAGGACAAGGCTTGGGACGATCCTGTGACGGACGTCGCAAAGTTCGACAACTACAACGAATCTCGCCCAGAAGACGGGAAGCCCTATGTGTGGACATGGTCCAAATCCTGGCAATGGCCGCCGCCAGCAGATGCATCGCAGATCGATGACGCTGCCTATTCTCCGCGCGCACTCGAGCAGAACCGCGAGATGGACAAGGCCGGCGTGCCTTGGCAAGCGGCCTACGAAGATCTCCTACGAGCCGAACAGGCCGAATCTCCACACTGTATGAGGGGAAGCGAACGGAGAGCCTGGGGAAGAAGGAGGACACCACTGTTACAGGAGCGCAGTGAGACGCTCCAGGATAAACCAGAGACCAGTCATCCTAGCGGTGTGGCTGATGATACATCAGACAACTACTGGGTTCATGGTAAGATCCCCATTACGCAACGCCAGCTGGAAGAAACCATGGGTCGCGATGAGGAGCCAAGCTGCCCTCACCTTGCGACGAGCGACGAGCCGAGCTACGAATACAGCCACGATCATGAAGACCAGCACGATGATCCTCCCACGCCGAAGCAGGACCGGTTCCCCTACGCCGACACTGTCAGGCGTGACACATACAATACTGTTTTGGACGCAGCACATGGAAGAGATGAGGAAGCAGAGACTGAGATGGATGTGTACGAGCGTATGGACGCTGTGTCGCGAGGCCCAGCCTCAGCACCCGGGCCCACCTCGGTAGCATCTGCGATCGCTGAGCAGATGAACGAGGCGAAGCCTTCAATTCTTTCCACGCTTACGACGACCGAGCGAACTGTCGCATCTGATGGCTCCATAACAACCAAAGTGGTACTAAAGAAGCGGTTCGCCGATGGACGAGAAGAAAGCTCGGAGACTGTACACACCCAGCGCGGCCAAGGAAATGATCAACCGCCGCGCGATCCTTGGAAGGCGTTCCAAGATACGCAATCGGTACAGGCCGAGTCAAAGAATGGAGAAAAGAAGAAGGGCAGCGGCTGGTTCTGGTCCAGCTAGCTTGGCCATGCTGATAAATGATCTCTGCAGGTATATCTGAAGCTAGAATGCATTTCAAGGTGATGGCGACATGACTTTTCTGGCTTGAGCACGTTGCTCACAAGCTTCGCTCGTTCTTTTTGTTGATCTTCAAGGCCATGTTTGCATGTTTGGAAATTTTTGGATATATAGCTGCGCATACCCCTCTCAATCAAATACAGCCTTGCTTTCTCGTAAAGACGACACCTTATTCATGTGCACTGACTCCAACCTGACAACAGGACGTTTAACAGATCTCGCTTGTCACGGCTCTCAATCTCGATCTCCATAGCTGGAACAAGTTCACCTGAACAGGGTTTCATAGAATTCATTATCAAAGTCAAGAAACAATTATCAAGGCGAGATGGCTATCGTCACTGGATCAGACACCATCCTACTATGTTGCGATACCGCAACGCTCTTACTCCTCTCCTTTACACTCATCGTATCGGGAATAATAGTGTTTGCCCTAGAGATTCCGTCATCCCATCCATCCCCGCCTTGCTCCGCCTTCTCTAGGCCCCATACACCATCCGCAATCGCCCTTGCTTTGTACTTGATGATTAAGCCTACGGTGACAGGTCCAAAGATCGTGTTGAGCACAATGGACCATACGGCGGTGATGAAGGCTTCCTTCGACAAATACGGCGTGTTATTGAGGCCGATCTGCACAACAAGGAGGCCGATTTCGCCGCGCGCTACCATTGCGGAACCAAGGAGCATGGCTGGCCAGAAGGTGGACGTGAAACATTCCCGGATCGACATACCAGGTGGTCTGCGCAGGATGGTAGCGAAGGGTATCACGAGGCCGACAACAACTTTGGAGATCAACATAAGCAGTGTGTAGACAAAGCCTTTCCAGAATGCCTCCGCGGTCCAGAGATCGAGGAACGGGATGGCGAACCCGATGGAGGCGAAGAAGAGAGGTTGCAAGAGGTATTTCACCACATCGAGGAAGTACTTCTCAAATGTGTGCATGAATGTAGGGCAGATTGCGGGTTCGCCTGCATCGTCGTATTCGGTGGCCTCGGCGATGGAGCGAGCTTCTGCCTCTTCTGCCTCTTCGCGAGAAGGTGGATGGAAAGGGCCAGTTGGGTGCTTGGATGGGAGGTATGTGAGGAATGCTCCAGCCATGAAGGACCCGTAAAGGACAGAAGTCCCACCGAAGCCAGTAATGCTAAGAAAAGCACATAGAACAAAGATCATGACGATGACGTTAACGACATGACGCTTGCGTGTTTTTGGAAGACGCGGCTCGACGAATTTTCGGTATAGAGGTGCTATCACCCATTTGTTGAGGACTGGGGTGAGTATGGCCAGAAGACCGGATACTAGTGTAGGGCGTCCGATGAGCCAGCCTAGATTGGGAGAATTCTCACCTCCTAGGGCTCCTAGTTGACCGATTACACTGATAGGTGTTAATGGTCTAGTAGCATTGTCAAGTATTGGGTATCTTACCTGGCCATGACCAGTCCAGAGACATCATCGAATACAGCCGCACTGACTAGAACAGTGCCAACTCGGGTATCCGCAAAGCTGATCTCCTTGGAGCTTTTCCCCAGCACCACGAATGTTGTTCCAAGAGAAGTGACTGAGAGCGCAGCACCCACGATAAAAGTCTCGATTGCGCCGTAGCCGAAACCGACATACAACAAAGCATATGTAAGTCCGATCGGAGCAACGACCCCTATCGTCGCAGCGATAGCAGACAGTCCAAAGTTGGCTTTGAGCAGGTCCAGCCGCACAGCCAGGGCGCCCTCAAAGATAATGAGAACAAGACCAATATATCCGAGAGCAATGAAGGCCTCCTGCCACGCGATTGGTATGATCTCACCACCGATGGGAAGTCCGTAGATTAGACCGACTATGATCTGCCCTATGAGACCGGCGCGGAATACACGGTTGGAAAGCCATTCGCCAAAGGAAAGCCAAAAGAAGAACGACACGAGGACGAGAATTTGAATAACTTGTACGTGTCAGTATGTGTTGTACCACTTAGAATCTTGAAAAGCTCACTGTTCGGCTCATGATACTGCAAAAAGCCTTCTGTGGTTGGAGGGGAAGTGTCGCCTGCCATGATTGTGATTTATCTTAGTTGAGTAATGTTGCGAAGTCCGCTTGCCTATTCCAGGCTTTGCATGGCTTCCTTTACATCTTTAAACGAGCCTGCAGTCGCCTTATCATGCCGCTCCAACACATGTTTCGCATCTCATAGTCTGAGGTCTTGGGGATACATGTGGCGCCCAGCCAAGCAACTGCGCGGATGCGGGCCCGTTATCTGGGTTGAGGCAACAGGAGCTCGTACGTGCGAGTGAGTCAGTGACATCTCGACTCTCAGCCTTGAAGATGCCTGCTCGCTACGGGTTTCTTCTCTTATCCGTCGGAGTATGAGGCTATACCTGTGATGGGCGGCAACTTGGCGTTTCCGCTCCGCGCTTGGCTTGACTATGAAACCACATCTCCGCCTTGAGTCTAAACAGCAATTGTCGGAGGCGAATACCAAGTATTGGGAAGTGGGTCAAATTCGGTTGTGACGGATGTGTTCTGAGTCAGTCGTGGGGAAGATTGGGGATGTTCGACGTTAGGAATACTCATGTCTCCTGTCACTTTACCAAATCCCAGGGTCCCGCCTGGCCTCAGCGAAATTTTTTGTTCGGGAAAGTCACATCCTGTCTAGTAAGACAATCTCTGGAACACCTGAGAGTGTTAGGCGCGCCAATCTTGTCGTTAGTTACATGATACGTTGAGCGCCCGGATGGTGCTCTTATTGTACAATTCACGTCTACAGGTTATCGGTAAGATGCAGGGTGGAAAGGGATGGTTGAGAAACAAACGATCCATATTCAAGAGGGTAGCTATGGCGTCGCGTGATATGAGGTTGGAGGCAGGTGAAGGGTGTCGCGTCCTACATCTGAACGACTTGAAGCCAGAGCTCTAGCCTTGGTCGATCTGAGAAAGCAGATGATGCAATGGTTCAAATTCGAGCATAATGGCAGAGCATGAGATGAGTGACGCTGATGACGTGTGCCTAAGTCAGCAGAGAGGGCTGAGAACTCTCCCAAGACGCGACGCGACATGGGGCCGGAAGGCTAGTCCGCAATCGGCAGAACACGTCTTCTAGTTCTCGACCCCTCCAACCCCAGACCTTACGGGAGTCGTCTGCACCAGCCTATACGTATGCTTCCCTCCTCTGCGCCACCGTGGTCATCTATTTTTACGCTATGTCGCTCGTTGCAAGAGCGAACAGAAGCGCCGGCCGTCAGTCTCCGCCTTCTGCATCGCTGTGCCGCAATCTAATCCCGGACCCAAAGTAAAAGGCTCAACGTGTCAAAGTAGGCCGCTGAGATTGCCACAATCCCGAGATACTCTGGAAATCAGCTCAGTGCTCTCTGCGAACACCCTGACGTGTTTTGAAATCTTCTTCACTCTCGTTACGCAAGCAAGCAAACATGCGCGCCTTCTTCCTCCGAAACCTGCGACGCAAAAAGACCGAGCCGACCACTACGATCGCACCGAATCAAGACAGCGAACCAATGCCGAGACCTGTACTGCCGAGAAGCTCACCTCTTGATCAAAAGCAGTGTGTGTTATTCGGAAAGTTGTCGGCTGAAATACGACTCTTGGTCTACGAAAAGGTGCTCGCTGAGCCGCAGTGTTTGTTGCACTTCTTGCATGTTACCCCCACCAAAGGACGACCTGCCAAGCTAGGGCACTGGCGTTGTGAAGACGCAGCCATTCCATATCTCACCTGGCAGCATGTCTGTTTTGGGGTTTGGAATGAGGGGAGCACGCGCTGGTACCGCCCCGCATCAACCACCAATGGCGACCTTATATCTATGCTCATCACATGTCGTTTAATGTAAGCTTCCATCACAGGTCTCTCACCCCAGCTAAGTAAAGGGGCAGGTACTGTGAAGCTGTGGAAATCTTGTACAAGGCGAATCAGTTCAGCTTTAGAGGTGCTACAGGAGTGATGAGCTTTCGTACGCTCATAGCCCCAGACAGTTGGCACATGCTGCGCTACGTAAACGTATCAACGACTATTTTGACACCGATGAGGCGTTTCATGACACCCCGAGGCAGCTTTCCGAAAGAAAGTTATCTTGATTGGAAAGACGCTTGTTGCGCTCTAGCGAGTCTCGATCAACTGCGCTTGCTTCGGATCGAGATGACTATATGGGATCAGTTCCAGTATCATGATGCCAATGTCGGTACGCCAGATGATGAGTCACTGATCTTCATCTTCGAGGCGTTGAAGCAAGTGCGTGCGCAAGTCTATGAGGTCCAACTCAACATTGCCTTGCCCTTACAGGTCTTGGATGCACTTGGAGACCTTCCATTCGAAATGTCGCCGCTTAAGAAACTATATGACAGGGAAACTTTTCCTTTGTGAAATAAGGACTTCTGTCAACGCGCCATAGGCATCATGTACATCATGATCAATTTCAAGCCACACCTGCCCTCTTTACTATTCGGCCTTTGCTATCGATCTTGGCTTTGTTCTTGAGCAGCCAGGAGCCTATGGAGTAGTCAGTTTTTGCCCATGAGATAGGAGCCATATCACGTACCGCTCGCAAAGAGAGCTATGGTGTCGGCGTTGTTGTCTGGTGCGGCTTCTCCCCCAAGGTCATCTCCTTCACGGGCGAGTCGCAATGCCGCCTTCCAGCCATATGCAGGCGACGTGAAGAGACCAATAAGTCGGGTAGTAGACGGAACATCTGCGAGACCCTCTACCTCTACCATACCGTCGTTATATTCAGCATAAGCACCACGACCGTGTGTCATCTCATGTAAGAGGACCTTGTCCAAAAGATTGAAGGCATCTGGTTGCGACTAATTAGCCTCGGCGCGAAGTCGAGTCGTTCCACCACCTACCAATCTGTGTGAGACCGAACAGATTCCATTCAGCCATATTGATCATCGCCCTACCGATATTCGTCCTCCTTTGAGCGTCGTCAGAGAGCTTGAACTTCTTCTGCTTGATCCAGTCAACGAACCACGTGCACAGCTGGATCTGGGTGGGCTGTCTGCTTTCCATCGCTACGCCATTCCTCCAGGTAATGTCCTCGTCTTCCATCTCCGGGTTGAAGGTCACAGCTAGAGCGACTTTATCAAGATTTGTGCCTCCTCTACATTGTTGCTCTTTGAATTTCAGTTTGATACCATTTGCTATGCGTAATTAGTCTTTGTTCACGGAACAGTCAGGTGCCACATACTAGTATCTCGCCAAAGATCTTCCTCTCCCTCGACAGGCTTCCAGCGATCGAAATGGCAAAAAATGACCTAAGGCAGAGATTAGACCCTTCCTGGAATGCTGAAAGCGTTTTTCTTCGACCATACCACATCTTTCGGAAGTACACTGGCGTGACCAGTTACTTCGTTACGCATGTTGGTATTTATGTTTTGCAACACGCTGATAGTCTTTGCCATTTTGCCCTCTTCTACAAGCTTAGCAGGATCCACGCCGTCTTTCACGAACAGAAACCCTAGAAGTTCGAGCGCCTCGGCGTGTAAGGGAGGGGAGACCAGAATTCCATATGCATCGTAAGCTTTCTCGAAAGCCGACGTCATGGCATCCCGGATGTCCTGCGCAATGCCTTTGTCTTCACAAGATTGGTCAATCTTATATCCGGAAACATAGACTGGTATAAAGGCTTTGAGCAATAATGATGTCAAGAGTAGCGACCACATTTTGATAGTGGTTTCGCGGGTGCATGGTCACTTGTAATCAAGTCTTCGCGCAAGCCTTTTATATATGTGCAAAGCTCTTGTAAGCATCGTCACCGACGCAGCAGCGCCGCTATTATTTCACCCCAACGGGAAACTGTTCTCTTGCCAACCATCCAATATGCCGAGGAATATATCGGCATGGCTTCATGTGTTCATGCCTTGTAGTTCGGGTGAAAACCGAATAATCCGCTAATCATAGCCATTCTTCGCGAGGCGTAGTTCGCCAATTCCTCGGATAAGGGTAGCACAATCTCCTCTGCTACGCATACAACATGGAACATTCGGCCCCGGCCCCAAGAGCTCCCAGCATTGCAGCGAAATGGGTACGTTCCATCGCCCCAACCGCTTCCAATCTGCAGTACGCCACGTACCGAAAGGATGAAATCATTTTGAATACCGTGCCACGTTTCATGTTCACATTGATGAGTCAGAATACCTACATCATCGCCGCAATAGTCTCCATCGACCACTAGACGCAACAACTTCCCGCCCCGTCTGCGTACAAAGAACTGTGCCTCTCCGGGCGTCACGCTGCAATCTGGGTGACAGAAAGATGATATGGTGTCTTAACGGAGGAGTTGTATTGCCGAGGTCTAAGGCCATGACCTATCCATAAATAAGCTTGAGATCCGCCCTGGATGATTCACTATTGATCTACCCTTAATCAACATGCTTTCTCCTAGCTTTATAGCATTAGCACTTTACCTTAAGACAGCTGCGGCTCGGGCTTTGAGAACACCGATTGAAGCATCTCCGCTTGCAACAAAGGCACCCTCGCGTCGAGACGAAAGCGCAGCAATTCCAACGTTCACATTTGGCCCTGAGAGTGTGTACTTCCCAGCCGCGGTACGGATCAACTTATCCGTTATACTTACAGCGCTAACATCCATCCGTAGGCTACGAACTCTGAGCCTTCAGGCACAGAGATACAGGTGTATCCTACCGGGGTTCATGATACGATACCACCTGATGGGATCACTATCGCCTTCGGCCCTGGGATGCGCCAACAAGTTGAGGATGTGCGAACGCAGAGTTGCAACGACGGACAATCGGAGGGTTGTCGCAAGGCACTCAGTGATATACTGCAGAAGACCGAGGTATCTACTCATGTCAAGCGTTTCATTCCACTTGCCGCTTGGGCTTTTGGGGTTGCCCTGGCAGTTATCATCACCGAGGCAGTTTACATATACAACCATGAGCTAGGGAAGGAGATGGAATTCCGTCCAGAAGACCTCCGCCAGATCCACTCGATGGCAGGCGCTCAAGAGATCGCCATCGTGACCGCCTCGGACGCGACCGCTGTACCAACCACTTTGACATACCAACCACCTGCGACAAGTACAGCGACGTAAGTGGCATATGTTTAGTTACAACTTGTTTGATTCTGATTTGTTTTGCAGTAGCGTTATCAGCATCGAAACACTTACTGCAACGAGTAACGGTCACGAACCAGGAGACATTGTCTATCATATTCCTGAAAGAATGGCTGAGCGCATCCAGGACTTCTTGGGCATGACAGGTCTCCAAGAAACACAGCAGATCTGTCAAGGACAAAACTTGAAGCGCGCTGACCCCACTGAGGAGTGTGTACGGAACATCTTACGCCATGCCATGGATCTTGCTGACACAGGTCCTGAAAACCTTATGGCCTTGGCGCAGGCAAACAATCCGGTTGAACCCGTCGCAGGTCAATTCATTGGTTTCCCAATCCCCAGTATCTCCATAGGCGAATCTGTGGCTTTCGTTCAACTCTATCGTCAAGTTTTCAGTGCTACTGCACCAGTCCCTCAGGCGGATCAAAACTGGAACCCATCTGTTCTTACCAAGAGTGCACTCAGTCTTACCATAGCTGTACATGCATCCATGTTTGCTGGTCAAACATTAGCTGAATTAATCGTTAGTAAGAACGATATAATCAACGACCTCAAAGAGGAGGACTTAGCATGTGCCAAGGATCTCATTTGCACACTGAATAATTGTCAAGGGCAGAAAGAGTTGACTCACCCAATAACAGGGGTAGTGAGCGCAAAAGTACCTCTGACGCCGACATGTCTCACAGTAAGTCAATGATATGCCGCATAAACACGGAACTCAAGGTCTGACATGATCGTATCTAGCCCAAGAACCTCGGATGTAGATGCGGAATCGTGAACTATCCATACGTCTACGATGTGCCACAAGGATATATGGATGCGCAGTATGAATGGCTGGAAGAACTTTTCAAGTTAGCCGATACTTCAATACCAGAGCCCGATTGCAAAGACAACGTGGAACGGTTTGACAACCCCAGGGCGACTTTGAAAGGGTGAGAGAATTCCGGATTCACTTCTCACCAACTGTTACTGAATCTCATATAGATGGATCGAGAAAGCGTGTGCCGAGCACAGCAACCAGCTCAGTGAGGAATGGGTGTATAATTACTACGACACTCCTGGATTCGTTGGTGCTATCAGATGGGGAAGGTGGCCAGGTGGACTTCCTGACTGCTCATTCGATTGCAAGACCGTGTTCACGACATTTCTAGATTCAGAATGTAGGTCTGACATGTCAAATCTACAGAGTCTCGCTTACGTGGTTAATAGGTGTGAAGGGCGAAGGGTTCTCAAGCACTGGTGAGATCAAAACTGAATGTGGAACTGCATTATTATATGCGAGGTGGTCGGCATGAACGGATAATCCAAAGTGTTGCATTAGTGCAACATGGGTGACCGTTGCGGACATGTTGATTGAGTCTTATAAGTGGCGATTTAATGAATATACCAAAGTCAAGTTACCACAACAGTTCTGCACAAATCCTTTGGCTCTAAGCAAATCCTGGATTAAGCTTGTACTTCTCTATGACTAGATTTGGTCCATGTGGCCCGTACATGCATGGGTCTGCATCAGCCCAGAGAAGCCGCATCGTGTCGCCGAGGACAAACAAATGTCTCATGCTAAATTGACTGGATCGAAGGACATCGAGAAACGTTTCTTGCTGGTCCTATTTTACTTTACAAGTACTAGCAATGATAAAAGGCCACAGAATAGTTGCGATGCATGGTGAACCCAGTAGCTGCGAACAGTAGCTAAACAGCGTACCGACATAGTCCTGTATCGCGAGTATCACAGCAGTGTCCGCGACCGTCGTACCTGCTATAGCAGTCGCGAGGTCGATGTATAGTCCTTCCCGGAATGCCTCACCGGCCAGACGTGTGTGCTCTAGCATCTCCATATCCGACTCCAATTCAACTCGAGAGGATTGCATTTGCCAAGGTTTGGTTCGGCCGAGCAATTTATCGTATATCTTCCTGATCTTAGGAGACGGACATGTCATGCCGGAAAGCTCTGGGTCTAGCCGTTGCGATGCAAGTAGGCTCACTTCGGTAACAAGGCTGTATATCCCATCACAGCCGAACAAAAACGATGCAGAAGTGGAAGGTAATTCTGCAGCTGCTGTTGAGATGATGATATTTTCCCCTGGCAGTTAGCGGTCTTTTATAGCGCCATAAGGCGTGACATTGTTGGTGAGCGAAAGGAAATTATAAAGCCCAACAGTATGACCTAGAGCTCCTTCGATGAACGGACTTTACTAGCTAGAACAGAGTTAGCTTATGAGTGGGAGGGATATCTTGAGGGTGCTATAACTTCAGGGCAGCGCGCGGCCAAGGAACTTATCGATGCTCTCCAAGAGTAAGAGGGATGAGTAAGAGGGAATTGAGACGACTATGATGGTACTCAAATGGAAATGTCAAATTGACGAGCTTGGATGATTGGAGAGTAATGAAGAGGTCCTAATGGTATTGCCTAGGGGGTTCGTTAATGACGTCACATTACCTAGGTAGGCTAGAGACGCGCCTGTTACGCGTTGGTATGTATCAAGCATCCAAGTCCTCCAAACCCAATTCTTTCACCCAGCCACCTTCTAATATATCCTCACCTCCCTTTCCATTGCGCATTCTTGGTAAACGCGCAATTACGACGCGTTCATCATCATTGGCTGTCATGGACACTGTTTTATCCAATAGCGCGATTAGTCCTAGTAGATATCGAGCATATGCGCAGGCTATCAGTTTGCTCGAGCCTCATGAAATGCCGAAACCCACTGTGGCTGAAAGCTTTAGAACCAACCGATGGGAAACATGATTAACCTGCTACCAGTATATCCTCGCTGGCTGATCATTCCACTTTCTTTGCATGCATTGGGTTAGTTCGCCATCTCCAAGTTTGCATCGAGGATACAATACCTAGGTAACAACTGCACGCAGCTTGATACCAACATATCATATGGACCTTACTTTAGCTATCCAACTTGAGTGGACGAGGGGTATGGACGCTAGACCGCTTACGGGCAGCTTAGCGCCGAAACGACATTGCATATTGGATACAGCACAAACTGTTGCCTGTCTTGTCTTTACGTTTGCTGTCACACGTCGCGTACCGGAGAAAAGCACGCCCATCCAGTATGCGTTTTCGAAACCACACCCCTCTGATCACTCCTAAGGGACCGTGGTTGACCTCCTTAAATTGGGATCTATGCGCAACGGCTTCAGGCGAGATATGTACACCATTTCAACACTACGTCCGCGAGGGACGAGAACGAGCAAAGCCCTCACTCCACAGCTTCACAATATTTCTGCGCTTGCCTGTAGAGCTTCAGAATTATATATTGTCCTTCTGTGACCGCAAAGCACTCTGGCAGGTCATGCGATCATCCCCTTCAACACGCAAAGAGGCTGCGAAGCTCTTCTGGTCTAATCCCGCGGTACGTTTTGTCATCGATGGCCCTTGGCTTCTTTCGGGCGGATATCCCGGCATTACGTATGCAGATCTCGAGGCTTGCAAGTGTATGCGGTACTTGTATATTGAATTCTCTCATACATCGTCGAATCTCGGCAGTGAATGGCTTGACGGCGAGCAGCAGCACATTAACTTCCGAGACGACGTTGAAGGACTAGCGAGCAGCTATGAAGAACATCAGATCACTGAGTTTTGGAAGACACTTCGTCGACGTTTTCCCTGCGCTAAAGATGTTGTGCTGGGCGCTGAGGGTATCGATGAATCTGATGCAATAGTGTTTGAAGAGCTGATACAGATGGTCGGAAGATGTCCAGATGGTATTTCTGCACGCCTATCGCGCTTCTGTCCTGATTCGCCGCTTACATTTCGGCCCGTATCAAGGCAGCTATTCCAGCAAACCCACGCAGATAGTAGTCGATTTCCACTAGAGCTGACCAATGCATCATGGTCACCACAACTGGTTTTGCCTCCAATACAAAAGCGTTCTGGGCCAGTAGGTGCATATGAGCGTTGGCTTCATGATGGAGACCTCTACAACTACATACAGAACGCTCGTAAGCTTCTCCTGATACAGGCTATCGAAGCATACTATCTACACACTCTCCAGGCTGCATGCATCTGTCCCTTCCCCAATTGTGGCCGAAAATTCGAGGAACCAGGCCAATGGGCGTTACACTACGTTTCCAGCGACGATAGCATGCATGTTCTTGGTCAGCCTTCCCCTCCATGCGAGACGCTCTACGCTGCGTTCGCAGACCATGAGATACGTCTGAAACTCATACTGGACCGACATGAGGAATATTTGGACACGTTGCGAAAAGCATGGGGCGAAGAGGGAAGCGATCAGCGCTATATCGCCACACAAGAATTCTTAGAGCAGCTACGGGATGACCCGTTGTGTGCACGTCAGAAAGAACCAGAGGAAAGTCAAATTTGGTTTGAATATCAGCTCGCCATGAACGATGGGTGGCACAATTATCCAGACATGACCACAAGGCAGAGATGGGGGGTGAATAGAATATAGTCAGCATATTGAGAGTATCGCGATATCAAAGACTAGTACCGTCACAGAGCGATACACACTTGCGTCGATCAGCCCATGTTCTCGATTATCGTAACGAGATAATTTCACAACAAGGTCATCGATCTGCATAGAGAGTTGCGCGATCAGATCCACCAGTGCGCACGACAAGGAACATACATCTACTATCAGGACATTGTTTGCACCTTCAGTGCTGTCAACACACTATTTGTGGACTACGATGATATTACCGAGAAAGGTAGCATACTTCCGCTTTGGTAGCTACCAAGTATCTTCGTATCTTGTTAGAGAGCTCGTCGTGCGCTATCCCTCAAAAGAAGATGTGCGGCTTTGAGGTTCTCAATAGCATTTTTCAACCATCTCCTGTCATCGACTGTTCTCCCAAAGCGTGAACGAAGAACTTCGTCCACGAGTGCATGATCTGATGCTAGCACCCAACCGTAGTGCGTATCGATCTGCTGAACCTGCCTTTGCATATTTGCAGCTATCTTCGATATGCGTGCACCTGCAATCTGTTCTTCTCTTGTACCTGGAGTGGCTTGCATGAATTGGCTATAGAGTAGGTTGAGTTCCTCGAGACAGCTTAAAATCTTGCCTTTTATCTCGCTGATTGTGTCAACAAGATCCTCGAATTCTGAACTGGACTCCCCGTATGGCTCACGACTTGGGGTTTTTTGTCGCACTGTTGTTTCCAGATGTTGTCGCATATGATATCTCACTTATTAAGCCGAGTATACCAGGCGTGGAAAGAAGCTATGAAGATATGCTTAGTCTCTTGCGTTCATTGTGTGATGTCGAAAACTGTTACATCGCCTATTTCACCTTGCCCCATCGTTACGTATCTTGCTTCCTTCACTTGCTGCAAAGGCGATGGTAAGTGATATGGTAATTAGTATTAGACACAAACAATATTGTATATTCCCTGCTGATTCTTCGAAGCTGAAAGAATTACTTTACTTCCCAGCGCAGTCGGATACTCGTCAATCCTCTCAGTGTTCCTAGCAAGTAGTCTAACCGCTTCGTTCTTGTTCTCTCCAATTTTGTCCAGTTTCTTTGTCCTCTGATCTTCTCAGTGGACTGCTGTGAAGCAGATACGGATTACCAGCGTTGTTTCCATAACGGGACGTGACTATGTCGTGTTGCTCAGTGCGCTGATAGCCACACAGGAGCTGTGACCTCAGACTCTACAGTGTGACAGGCCTAGCATCGAGTCAGACCGTACGGCGGCTTTGGTACATAATCTGCAACACATGACAAGAACAAAGACGTACCTTCTTCACCGATACCTTAGCCTCTCAACCCTTATCAAGCACGAGCGCGGTGTGAAGTTTCTTTTGTGCCGCCGAACCACATTCCTCTAGAGCGATGCGTATCTCTACAAAGCAACGCGTGCGCCTGCCTGAAACAACAAACAACCATCATTTCTGCCGTCATGTCTACTCTGTACTCAACAACTCGATTAACACTCTTTTCGACCACCTTTTGGGAAGTTCTTCCCTCACATTACGACAAGATCATAACACGCTGGTCTAAGATTGCACACCTGCATCACGAAGCAAAGTCCGACATATTAGCCACTGACCGCGCTGATGCAGTGGCATCCCTCAAAGCGGAGTTAGAGATGCTGGACCGGGATGTGGAGGAGTACCGAAAGCTCGTGAACGGTGTTGATATTACTGATATTGCAGGCGTATACGTCGTGGGTGGCAGGCCACGACATCGCGCTTTGGAGATTGCGAAGGAGGACAAGAAGGATCTGGAAGAAAGCTTGCGCTTGGTGGAGGAGCATGTGAAGGAGATTAGGGTCGACATTGTGTACGGGTTTGAAGAGATGGTGCAGCCTTGATTTCTTTTCCCAATTAGACACCTCCAGCGCTTTTACATCACTTTTGCGTTTTCGGATAATCTTCAAACCAAGCTCTGTGTCTGCAGTCTCGAAACGCCCTGGGCAGTGTGAAGCCGACCGTACGTGATTTGAGTTGAGCTATCGACTCAATGATGAAGATAAACAACGTGACTCACATTGATCGCCATGACTTAGTGTGACGGCCCTGCACTGTACAACTAGGAAGGTGACCATCTACTGGAGACATCGAGAGTAATCTCTTCCTTCAAGATGTGCTGCATATAAGAAGGATCGTGGGAACAGATCTGCGCAATATCATCATAACCACACGAACTAGCAAAATGAGCACAATGAGCACCGCGCCTGTCCTTCAGTGTCACCATACCAATGATCTTACTCCACTCTTAACAGAAATTGAGGATCGAGCCGACTGCGTTTTGACAAGGCTGTACCTGCTCTGGCAGCTAGACGAGGAGTTTGCAGAAATCGAGAAAAGCCTGGAGCAGCAAGATTACATCAATCTCATCCGTTCCATAACCGGGAAGATGGAGGCAGACCTGGAAGTCATTCAACAAAAGAACGAGTTACTAAACAATGGCCAATTATCCGACTGGATCGATAACGGTACAGATGAGGCAGAGAAGTCAAGGAAACAAGAGCATGTTATGAGACTGATGAAGAAGATGTACGGGTTGCAGAAACAAATGGCGGAAGCGAAGAGAGGATATCTCGGCTAGAGGGCAGTGGCGGAAGCCCAAATGTTATGATGCTGTGAACGCCGGAGACTGGAGCCTGTTGAGAATGCGGCCTCCAGGTCCAATGAGCTTTTAGTATTCGTTGACAATGTTCACGTCGTATTGCAGCGTGTTCTAATCGAAAGAGCATGCCCACTCGACAGCCTCAGGCAGATGCGCCGTGTTCGGGATGTTGCTGCTTTCTCGGAACTCAACTATCTTCCTTTCCCCTTGCTCTTCTTTGACCACAGCGAACGCTGCATTGGTGAAGTACAGATCGCGCTGGACACGGGTCTGGAACCCCCCCGCCCAGCCAATCATGTAGACGAAGCCGCCCTTATCGCCATTTATGTTGGGTATGCCAAGGCTGTTGATAAAACCGTGCTTGAAGGGTGCGAATGCTACGCCGAGAGTTGCGTTGAAAGTCGTATATAGTCTGAGGGAGCCATCGAAGTCGTAATGCGTGTCGTTGAATGTAAATCTGATGTCTTTTGAGAACGATGTAGCATGACCTTTAGGCCAATCCGTGTTCGCAGGATACGGGTAGAAGCCTATTTTTCTCGGAGTCAGCATGGTCGAGAAAATGATCTGGCGTTGTGTATATATACCGTTGACCGCGCATTCTAGCCAACTACTGAGCTGGACGCTTGCATTTGCCGCTGGCGAGTCGACCAATGAGCAAGGATCGACAGGTGCCTCAGTCAGGATATTAGGTGTATTTGAATCGAGTATATCCTGCGGTGATACATCGAACGATGTACTGGACGCAATAAGGCCACACAAGGTGACTTTGAGCATGTCAGTCAAGATCAAAGGAACGGCTGCACATCGCCCTTACCAGCAAACGAAAAGTAGCGCATAGCGATTGCTCAAAGACGCAAGACACGGTGAGAAACGGATACTTTGCAAAGGTCAGCACTCCTGCGCTTCTATCTTATAGTTGGACGGGCCATGTCGCTGCCTGCAGCTGAGGCTGACGAGGCTGACGCGCTGGTATCTTGATCAGTGTGACATTAGCACAAGACAGGCAGGTGACCAGGATGATGGCCAGCTTGGGGCTAAACGCTCGTTCGCCTGCTTGCAATATAGGTACCAATCATAGCATGAGAGTCGAACATCGTGGGCTTCGGGAATGCAGGTCGGAGTTGTCGATTAGTGTTAGCTACGTAATTACCGGAAGCTGCCTTCCGGGCCGATGCGCACCGCGTCAGTCTCGCGCTGCCGTCGCGATCCAAATCTCATTCTACGCACCGCGCCCAAAGAAAGAAGTCTTCCCAAATAGCCCACCCATCCCTCGTGGCCTCTTGCCCACATCTGCCATAGTCCTCTTGTTGACCACCGCGAAGCTGCTTGTCCTCATAACCTTCCCGTTCGGATCTGAGTTGAATGCGCCACTTGGGGGCGCAGCGTCTATTGGCGTCGGTGGCACGTTCGACATCTCAACAGCCTCTCTTTCTGCCCCAGACATCTCGGCTATCTGAGGATGCTGCGACATCTGTGCAGGCAGCCACTCCACCCTGATTGACTCATCACGACTAAGTTTCTGGTCATTGAACCACAGCTCAAAACGGATGTCTGCGGGTCCGATCAAGACGCGCACCGAGTACTCGATACGCAAGTAGTGCTTCTGTAACGACCAGAAGTGCTTGTTCCTTTCTTGGAACTTTCTTTCGTCTGCAGCAGAGAGATCTGAACTGATCTCGCATAGAATGCGCGTGTCTACAAGAGCTGTTAGCAATCTGCACGACCGGAGTGGATACAATTTCGCATGCATACATTGGTTCATTTGATCTGGTAGTATCGCCGCCTCCAGATCACTCTCGACGACAGTCGTTGGAAATGCCCTTCTTGGGTCGCCTGGATCGACCTTCTTGATGAAGTTGTGCTCGATCGGTTTGTCGACACTTACCGGCGCGCCCTTCTTGACGAACCATGCTATCGAATGCGTAATGTACAGCTTGTTGTTCAATGGATCCCGAACAAGTGCCTTCCCTTGATGCTCGGGATTCTTCTTGTCGTATGCAATCTTGCACACCGTGCCGTATGAAGCGCGACAGCAACGCCATCCAAGAACCGATCGTGATGTCAGAATCTTTCGCATACGATCGCTGACCAGACCTTTACACACAGCAAGCTGAGGGTCAGGTGCTATGCTTACGGAGATTGACTCGGCATTTGGGAATGAAGTGCGTGCATAGTATTTTCGGAGTTGCGACTGCACATACGCGCTATTGCCCAAACCGCCACTGAGGACAAGATGTGCTACATGCTCTCTTGGGAACTTCTGAAATAGCGATTGCAGTTGCGTATCGATCAGCTTGAACAACTTCGCGATCTGCTTATCGAACAACCGCTGGAGATCTCCCCGTTCAAACGTCATCTCTCCGCTGCGGATCCGAACCTCCGGATCAGAGTTGTTGTACGTGTGAGGAACGCGTGGAATACCTATGCTGAACAGGGGTGTATCGTCTGGAGCACCGTATTCGCACTTGACTGCCTGAAAGTCCCGACTCTTCATCATCTCCCATCCGGCATCTGCAGGGTCGACAGGCAGGGGATTTGTGCTGTGTGCGAGCGTCAAGCGATGCATGACCAGCCTCTCAAACTCATAATCGATAGCAGCAGAACCGATGGTCTCTCCGAACACGACATCCATCTGCTGAAGATCAATAGCTTGATTGACTGTGCCAGTGACCTTCAGCACGCTGAGATCTGTGGTCCCACCTCCAGCGTCACAGACTAGCAAGACGTCGTTCTCACGGAAGATGCCTGGTGCTTCAGTGGATACATGCACAGCGGCGGCCTCGGCCTCCGTCAAGCCTATGTTCACATCGTGATTCGGATGCGTACCGTAGCCCGCCTCTTTCACAAGCCGCTTGAAGTTCTCAACAGTCGGTATTGGAGCCCAAGTTGTGGGCACGCTGAAAATGAACTCGATTCTGGCCTCTTCCCAGCTAACGCCAGAAAGCTCTCCGCCTAGTTTGAAAAAAAGGTACTCATACATCTTCCGCAAGTAGTCGCTGTACCATTTCTCGACTTCCTCCAAGCTTTCAGGCGCGCCTTCTGGATCCTCCAGTTGCTTACGGCGCAGCTTCTCTGGATCGAGGCAGGTCTTGAACCACTCTTTGTATTCCTTGTCGTCTGCAGCGGTCTCCGCAGCGGTCTCGGAAAGGAAGCCCCATGACGACGGGTCTTTGAAGCCAGTTGGGTAGACTACTACTGTCGGAACTTTGTTCTCGTTTGCTTGGAATCGGCCAGGCCACTTCTGCACCCAACGAACAGTCTCGCTGCCGATGGAGAGGTTTACATATGCCACGCCGGTACCTGGATACACGTCTGCGTCAGTCTTCAACTCGCGTAGCAAACACCACGTGATCCAACAATATACGCTTAGCCGATTTGAGATCTGGCCCCCACGCACACCCTTCGCTTCAGCTGAACCCAGCCTCATCAACACTTACATGTCATCCCCAGATCTACTCCTACAATCATGTGCGGTCGCTCACTTCGCTCCATCTTGTCTCGTTGTCGGTGACACTGTCTCCGTTGCTGCCTTCTCGCCTGATCGTGTATCTATAGGATGTGGGTGCCATGCAGGTGCCTTCGGGTAACCCCTATGTCTCAGCCTTGCGGCACAGCGTCTTTCGACCGATCACAGCTGGGCGCCATTTTAGCCCCCATGTGCCTCCATCTTATAAATACGCGCTTTATGCATGATGAGTACGCCTTTGGGGCCGCAATTAAGCACAGTCTGTGTTACCGAACGCCTAGCGGAAACGAGGCCCTCTATTCATCGTGCTTGGTCAATCACAGCCTGCGATACTTAAGAACTAGGGGACAGAGGGCATGGGCTCCGCTGTGATCGGCGCAGGTAGGACGCAAGGTTATATTGGTGTATATGTTTTACCGGGAGCGCAGTGAAAACCCTAAAACTGTCTACGAGCTGAGCCTCCAGCTGAGTTCTAGTTACTCTTAGTTGGTTTCTCATCCTCACGATCGCGCAGAACCGTCTCCTCTCCCTCACATATCGAATCGAAACAAGTCATCGTCTGGAACTGATTCAACAATGGCAAACACTGCGGATGCAGGTGCGAGAGCCGAAAGTACAATGACATGGCAGACTCCTCCCCTCCCTGCGCTGCAGAATCCACCACCTGCCACTGGTAGCTTTCCCGTTACCCTCTACGTCACCAGTGTTCCTTTCACAACCGTCACAATTCAGTACCCTCTCAGTTTGGGCGTGTTGTTTGGCAAAGGCCAGACATTAAAGCCCGGTGAGATGAAAACAGATAGTGCCTTGACTCTGTCATACACAGATGCTCCCCCACAGCTTCTGTTCCAGTCTGGTACTATTGTAGCTGGTCCAACTCCCAGTGTGATAGCGTCTTCTGCTCCAGCAATAAAGACGTCGGCAAAACCTGATCTTCCTCAAGGAACCGCTACAAAGACAACTTCAGAGGCAGCCGCTTCACCTAGCGCCTCTAAAGGCAGTTCGCAATCTACCAACAGTGGTACCGGGCTTTCCACAGGCGCCATCGCTGGTATCGCAATAGGCTGCCTTGCCGCCGGTGCTCTCATCGCGGGTCTAGTTTTCTGGTTCTGTTGGCGCAGAAAGAGGGCGTCAAAAGCTAAATATTCGCAAGCGGATACGTACGCATCAGCTTCGCATGAGAAAGGTTTTTCGACAAATACGATACCATTGACCGGGCAACGACATGTAGCAACTCCTCTTGGAGGTGGACTTCCCCAGCCGCTAGAGGATAAAGCCATCTCTGGTGATGTTTCAAAGATCAGCAACGCTATTAAGAATCATGTCCAAAGTTATTATCATACCAGCCAGGTCAATCCTGGTCTCATTGATTATGATGACCTTCAGGCACTTGGATCCAATCTACCTATCTCGGTGGGAACGCTCACTACATTGCTGGGAAATACTGCCACTAGGGAGATTGCTTTGAGATTCATTATCGCTTGGGTGATTGTTTCAAAGATTCAGCCTTCGAAAGACCCTTCAAAGACCCTTCTGCCGTCTGAAGTCGCCGATTGTTACCACGCAATTTCAACCGGAGATCGCAGCTTTCAAGGTATGTAATACAGCATCTTTCATCTGCAACCACTAACTGTGTTGTAGGTCAAGCGTCGTTGACGGCACGCTGGAGGGTAATGACTGCGGAGTTGATGCAGTCCAGCTACGTTCGCAATCCCTTCAGTCCTTCCGACAGTCGACATGCAAGTATACAAGCAACTCTTGCGACATTAGATAATGTACTGCAGCCATACGCCGACACTCGTATGAACAACGGAGAGCGCAAGCGAAATCTCGAAGAACTTCTCAAACGAGCTGCACTTTTTGCCTTCACGCTGTTCTCTCAGCCCAGCGCATGGGAATTTGAGTGGCAGGAGGAACAAGGTGTTACTTCAGGGGATTTGTGCATTTTCCCCTCTCTTATGCAAGTGGCAGGCGAGACCGGCCAAGCAGTCAACCCACCACGACCGTTCAGCGAGGCTGTAATCAGACGGTTGGATGCCTGAGATGTCGGTCTACGTAAGGAGACCCTCGTGGACGATGTATTCCATAAGTAGAACCTGCCCCCAGTGATGCGAAATTTCGTCTTTTCACCGTGCCGGGCCTCATTGGAACCTCGGTGCTATTGACCATCATAATCATATCGATCACCGCTGCACTCGCATCTTCAATTTGCTTAGCAGGCTGCGAAGGCCACTGCACTATGGGTTTTCACAACTGCCCTACTTTGGCTTCAATATCTTTCGTGCAATAGCTGGCCGAAGGGGTGATCTCGCACTAGATCTCCGCAACTGCGCTTCTCAAGCCTCCGCATGGGGCCACTTTCGATTATACCTTGGCCCCCAATGAGGCGGAGTCCAGACATTCGAAACAAGCAAGACAGACCCTTGCGACGTAGCCCAATAGCGAGGTTTGGGTCGAGAATCAATACCCTGTAAGTAATTTACACCAACTCCGGCGACTCGCTTCGCGCATAACGCAGTGCGGCGTAAGACAACAACACTGCATGACTCTGTGACACCAACACTCGCGCCTGAGTTGTTGATCTCCGCCCCCAACCACCATTTTGCCGTTGCGCCTGAGCCGCCTTGATCGACTGGTAGTCATTCCACGTTTGAGCAGGTATTCTGATCGGACAGGCCGACGCACGAAACTGGACCAAGAGTGCTCAGAACCAATTGTATACATCTTGAGCTCGGAAGCACCAACGACTGCGTCACTGTCTGCGGGATTCGTGCTTCGGTACCTGGTGCACGTCTGCTACTATTGCTTAGACTATGTGCGCTTCCAGCTACTCTCAAAATCTTTACAGCTATAGTGCGCTCAGCTCAAAGTAATACGAACGAGACTTATGCCAATATTGACTTCGATGTTGCCCACAGCTGGCTTGTTCCTACCGGAAACACTGCATCGGGCTGATCTCCCCGCTTCAGCGCCCACAGAAACTGACGGAACGAGGCTGAGGTACTTTCAACGCAAGATCGGGCGGCCGAAGCTGGAGCCCAGCAACTCTGAAGACCTTCGACCATCAACTGCCATTCCGAGAGATACCCCAGATGATCTATCGCGCGACTTTCCAGCAATCCCGACTACTTATTACTTCGCCGATTATGTTCTTTCTTCCGAGAAGGCTTCAACAGAGACTATTGCTTTCGTGAGTATCATCCAACAAGTACGACAAGATATCGAAGAAGCGACGCGCCTCTCTATCTCATCTGCGGTTTCAAACTTTCTGGATGCTTATCCAAGCAAGCGAAGATGGATCGAGGATTCCTTGCTCGAAGTGCGGCGTGCTCTCAATGACATCGGCATGGATATGGACACAGCCTGGGGCCATGAAGGAGATGGAGGCACAGTTGCATCGAAGCGCAAGCTTGAGTGGGGTCTGAAGAATCAGAAGAGGCTTCTAAAAAAGAAGCAACAATTAGATCGATGTCATACCCAGTTGACAGGCGCTATATACGTTATGCAGACCGCAGAGCTGTGCGGTAAACCTGGGTCCATCGCGCAAGATCCCATCTTCGAGGCTCCTGTGCGACCGTGGGTGCCTCACGATGAGAAGGATGCGCTACGTGGACCTTATTCGAGGCAAAAGAACCGGACAGCGAGTCACACTAGCTTGTTTGCGTCAAACGTCACTCTAGCATCCGAAGCCGAAAAGCACGACGTTGAGAGTGAGTATCACACTTGTTGAGGAAAGCAACTCTCGGCTGACTATATACAGCCAGTAGTGTCAACTCAATGCCAGTGGAGTTGGCGGGTAGCACGCCAGCTGATTTGGACCTGGTGGAAAGTCGGAACTCACAGACCTTCCTAAGCCCCCGTGTGTCTCGCGAGCCGCAAATCGATACTTCAGCGTTGCATAGAAGGCCGCGAGCACGTACAGACTACAATCGGCAGTCCGCACCTCGAGAACTAAGATCTCGTACCTCCATCGACATCGCTACCTCTTCCTCGAAGGATGCTAATACATCAATTGAGCGCAACGATTCTACTCTGTCTACTCAAGCAACAGTTGGGGTGCCCATGGTAGCGAGGCGATACCGAGCAACTTCGATCGATATTCAAAGACATACTGAGAAGCATAGGTCATTGCCGTCGGAACTTCCGTATCTGAAGAGTCAACCGTCACTTATCGATGATTTGGCGGGTTATGTGCTACCCAGTGCAGCAAGTGAAAAGTTGCTGAGTAGAGAATGGACAGCTTCGCCTACGCCGTCGGTGCCATCCATTTCCTTGACTTCGAGCCCAACAATCGGTCACGCATTACCCGTAGTTCCCGAAGCTACATCGACGGCAGATGCTGTAGCAAGTAGTCTGCCAAATCTTGCAATCGAAGCGGCCGAGGCGCAACTTCCATTCAGGCAGCTATTTCCAAGCAGTACAGGACCCATCCAATATTCACAGCATGAGCGCCGAGACACGAACACACTTCCAGCGTGTATAGACGTTTCTAGCTCGCGAAGAACCAGCTCGGACTCTACCGAACATGTGACGACACCTTCATCTTACTATGCAACATCGCTACACACACTACGTTCACCCAGCTCTCTTGTTAATGTTACAGTATTTACCGATGACGAGCCCGTCCGCCGACCGAGTAGTCAGCGACCGTCGCAACGCATGTCAAAAAGGATGTCGCAAACATCGAGCACCAGATCAGTCAACACAGCACCTTCACCCACGATTACCACCGTTGCTGAAACCCCTACAATACCTATCCACTCGAAAGAGCCAACTCATCAATATGCTACACCGTCTGCTGTTGCGCCCCTGCCATCGCCTCGGATCATTACGGAAGACGCCTCTCAACCCACACCAGTCGACCCAGCAGAGACACCAGAACAGCTACATGATGACGATGTTGTGCTCTCAGTCCTTCAGCAACGATTATGCAGCCACAAGCCCGTCAGAACAATGGCAGAGGACCTGGTGCGACAAGCCTCAGCTACTGAAGCAACCCACCAAGTAGTCGATACGGAGCAGCCAATACTCTCGCCTCCTGTGTGGCAGGAACAGCCGGCTTCGACCTCGAAGCCAGACTTACAAGTAGAGGTCATACCTCCCACATCACTTCCTTCAGTGCAAGTAGGGGCCTCTCCAGTACCCTCAAATGGAAGTCAAAATGGTGATGGAGAGAAGAAGCCCATGTCAGCGCAAGCTAAGCGACGAGCTGCGCACGCACGAAGGATGCAACTCGCTTTTGGTGACGGATCGACAGCTTGAGAACCTTTGCGGAAACGATATATGTGTATCTAAATCCATAATGCTAATGAATCGTTTCTTACACATCCACCGAATAACAGAGAGTGGTTATGCTTAGCTAGTGTCATCTTCTGACGTTAAGCGCAGCTGTAAAACATGCTGGCAAAACCCGAGATGAAAGGGCATATCATTCATCACGCATCACCAATCAGACAATAGTAAGGCTCGAGGATAGAGAATACCGTTCAGTTCGTGGAGGTCTCTCGATACGACTATCTAGTATTCTTGTGGGGACCATGCCGATTCTCTCAAGCCAACTAGACACATGTATAAACAAGTTAATCTACAACAATAGTCTAACTAGCCATCTCTCCTAACTTCAACGCCCACCACCTGGGATCCGAAGTCTCCACATCGTAGAGCAGATTGTATGAACGTATTCTGGATACGATGGACAGACACGAGATGGTCGGTCTATACTTCAATGACAGGGTAGATAGTTTGGGCTGAATGTATGGGTGTGGTGGCGTCTGAAAATGCGGTGCTGGTCGTCTTCTTTCGGATGGCAGGAGGCGGCGGGGTTTGCGTATTGCCAATGGCTTTGACGTCGGTCTTCTCCTGATTGGCGAAGGCGGCGCCGGCGAAGACGGCGAGAGCGACGGTGACGACAGAGATGAGCTGCATCTTGACGGGTGGATTTCTGCGAGGCTGGGGGGCTGATGAGGATGCAAGAATGTACGTTTCTTGGTAAGGTCTAAGAGGACGTTAGGTGTTTTTGCTATTGTGAATACAGATTGCGATATAAAGACACAAGAAAGAAAGTGCTAAGAGTAATGGAAATACGTACTCGACGTGTCGATTAGAAGATTCTTGTCGAAGTGATTGTAGAGGATTTAGACTGAGATTTATACTCTCGACATGCTTCCCCCTCTACCATACTTGGGGCATACATGATCATGATATCACGGAAAATGTATGCAGTATCGGGATGGCTAGGGGCTAAGGATAGGTTGATAGGTTGAATGAAGATATTAAGGCAGGGTCCATACATCATGCAAAGCCCTACACCTAAACACCATGGTACTGCGAGATCAATGAGGGGAGGCCAAGCATAAGAGGAGCCGGAGCGCGATCATTATCTGCAGGTTACTGGCAGATTTCTGTTTCTGTCACTAAGTGATCCGTCTCAATACTTTTGCACCGAAGTATTATTGAATCTACATCTTGTACCATCGGCCCATGCATCATACTGACTTCATGAGTGGGGTCTACATATGATCGCAGCCTTACACGTATCCTGCCGTTTCGTTCGCTGGTGGACCCACTAGCTTGTATGATGTGGTTCCCATCCATTGCAACCAGCCGTGCTGTGGTGATCTGTAATCAGCGAGTTACTTACAAAATTCAACAATTTGTATGTTTTGTCTGCAACAAGAGGCTCCCTTTGAGCAACAAGGCGATCATAAATAATCCACCTGTATTATAAGCAGAAATTTGTAGCATATGATACATATACCAATGCTTCACCGTGGCCTGAGAAGAGGTCGTGGTTTCAATAGATAGAGTATCGCCCCACAAGTACATCATTGCCATTTCAAGAGGTCGCGTTGTCGAATCGGCCAAGCAACTCAATCCGCTGCCACAAAAGAAGCACATAGAGACTTGGTGTGCGAGCGACCCATAAACATGGGCGACAGTAATTTGCGCCTGGAATTGATGTGTGATCTATTGATGAAGTATTGACGATTTAGATTCCACCCTCTATCTGGCAGAAAGTTACGTTGTAATTACCATTGTGAGCGACAAGCGTAATATGTTCGACGTGCCTCGTGTTTCGTGCACTATCGGTGCTACACATAATCATGGGAGACCAAATTCTGAAGTTAAAAATTCGCAATCGAGAATGAGTTTATCGTGCCATTGGATATACCATGGATTCAAATCATTATAGTATGATAGTGAAAGTTGCGAATAAATGTAGTCATCGAGTTAGAGCACCGCTAAGAATCATCGGAAACCATCGATTTCGTGGATTGTAGGCATCTTGTGGGTATTTGTTACAATTTAATTCTGGCCAGAATCGCAAAGTTAGCCAGGGAAAGACAAGCCTCATGACGGAGGTGGGCTTACTGCTCGGCTAGAGAGCCCCTTCCTCCACTTCTAGTGCGCCGCTCGGAGCGGGTAATGCTCCCTGATTGAGCGTCTATACGACCTCATCGCCTTGAACGTTTATGTCTGACGTTTCATGTTCGTTTTGCGCAATGCGCTTCTATTTCGCTCGACAGTTTATGAGAGCAGGTCCGCAACGTTCATAGGCATCTCGTCAATCTGGGTAGAGTAGTACACTGCGGCAGTTAGCGACTGATTTGAGGAGGAGACGCGATGAAACTTACACTCAATGTCACGGAGGATACGAACATCATCCTGGGTGACGAAGTTGATGGCCACACCCTTGCGTCCGAATCGCCCGCTTCGACCGATCCTGTGGATGTAGTTCTCACGGTTCGAGGGAAGATCGTAGTTGATGACCAGCGACACTTGTTGCACGTCAATACCACGCGCCCACACATCGGTTGAGATGAGGACGCGAGAGTTGGCCTGGCGGAAGTCGGCCATGATGCTGTCTCGCTCCTTCTGGGGCATCTCTCCGTGCATGGAGGATACGGTAAAGTTGGCCTCGCGCATCTTGTCCGTGAGCCAGTCAACCTTGCGGCGGGTGTTGCAGAAAATGACTGCTTGTGTAATGGTGAGTGTGTCGTAGAGATCGCACAGCGTGTCAAACTTCCATTCTTCCTTCTCGATAGCGATAAAGTATTGCTTGAGGCCCTCCAGCGTCAATTCGTCACGCTTAACTAGAATGCGCACGGGGTCCGTCATGAATTTGGTGGTCATCTCGAGCACATCGTATGGAAGGGTGGCTGAAACAACTACCACCTGTGTCGCGGGCGGTAGGTAGCGGTACACGTCGTAGATTTGTTCACGGAAACCTCGGTTGAGAAGCTCATCGGCTTCGTCGAGAACGAGCATCTTGATGTTGCGTGTGCGAAGGTTGCGGCGGCGAATCATGTCAGCAACGCGTCCCGGGGTTCCAGAGACGACGTGCTGGCCGTAGTCAAGCTTGCGGATGTCCTCGCCGACATTTGTTCCTCCAACGCAAGGATGGCACTGTACGTTCATGTAGTCACCGAGACCCACGATGACCTGCTGAATTTGGGTCGCAAGTTCGCGGGTGGGCGACAGCACGAGTGCTGTGTCTTGTCAGTATAGTCCTTCCTGCCACACGATATATGACGTACCCTGCGTCTCGCGTACAGCTGTGTCGATGACCTGAAGGATAGAGATGGAGAAAGTCGCAGTCTTTCCTGTTCCGGACTGCGCCTGCGCAATAGTGTCGCGACCTTTGCAGATTTGCACAATAGCACGTGACTGCACCGCTGAAGGCGATTCGTAACCGTAGGCGTAGATACCGCGTAGCAAGTTCTCCTTCAGGTGCATTGCCTCGAAGGTTGGCGCGACCGTGACCTCCTTGGAGGTGGAGAACTCCATCTTGTCGTCGGCATTTCGGTCGATTCCGTCGGCCATTTTGTCTGTGGTTTCGGGGGGTGTATCGGGTATACGGTGGGTTTCGACAATCGTTCGCGATGTGCAAGAAAGTTTGGGAGTAGTTGCGCCTGAGCTTTGCGGAGGGCCGGAGCCTCGGCGGGCTAGCTCCGTTTACTAGCGCGTTTTGCGATTTATGTCGTCGCGACAGCCTTCACCAGCAGCTCGACATCGTCACCGCCGCAAAGGTCTGCACATTCACTACCGAACCGCTGCTACACGAAAGACTCATAATTACTACAGGCGACCGCAAATATGCTTTTGGAAGACCAGCGCCAACTTCATGAGGACTTGGAGCGCCTCGAGGACGCCGCTGCAGAGCGACTTCTCGAAGACCCCCCACACGTAGGCACATCTATTGCGTCTATTGCCAATCACATGCTTACATCAAATCAGATCCGCGACCGTCTCGCACGCGATCACGATATTGCGCGCTTCCTCGAGCAAATCGAAAGCCAGTCGAGTCGCCTCTTGAAGATCTACCAAGATGAGGACAACAAGAAGGAGGACGAGGTGCGCGGCCTCACCATGGGCGACCCGATGGAGTCTTTCATGAAAGAGATCGCATCGATTAAAGACTTCCACAACCGATACCCCAACGAGCCCGTCGAGAACCTGGAGAAGGCTTACAAGAAACGCTCACCCGAAGAACACGTGCAATCAATCGCAGCCATCGACTCCATGTTTACCGGTGAAGAGGGATTTGGTCGCTTCTTTGACCTGACCACGCTGCACGAGCAGTACTTGAACCTTCCCGTTCAGCAAAACGCGCGCCGCCTGACCTATCTACAGTACCTTGATCTGTTCGATGTCTTCACCCCTCCACAATGTAACATTCGACGAGAGCAGAAGAAGTCAGAGGGCTACTTTCATTACTTGAAAGCCCTGCAAGACTATCTCGAGGGTTTCATGCGGCGGACGAAGCCACTGGAGAACTTGGACAAGCTCTTCGCTAACTTTGATAAGGAGTTCGAGGAATTATGGGAGAAAGATGAGGTTCCGGGCTGGGAGAAGAAGACATCGGCATCTGCACCAGTCAATGGCGAAGCACAGGGCGAGGGTATCTGGTGCTCAGCTTGCAAGAAGGGATTCTCGAAAGAGACCGTCTACGAAGCACATCTGTCAGGCAAAAAGCACAAGAAAGCAGTACAGGAGAGTCAGAATGGTGCGCAAGACGGCGAGAAGCAGACAAGCGGTGCCTCCACAGATTTGCAACGCTTCAAGGAGCGTGCGGTTGCCGAACGGGAGTTCCGGATACGAAAGCTCGCTGCAGCCATGCAGACGGAGCGTGGCGACACCAAGGTCAACGTCGAGCGGAAGCAGGGTATGACTGAGCGCGAGCGACAACAAGAGCTGGAGCAACTGTACTCCGAGAGACCTGAGAACGGTGGAAAGGAGGAGGACGATGAATCCGACAGCGAAGACAAGATATACAACCCGCTCAAATTACCACTTGCCTGGGATGGCAAGCCCATCCCCTTCTGGCTTTACAAGCTCCACGGTCTCGGTGTAGAATTCCCTTGCGAGATTTGTGGAAACTTCGTATACATGGGTAGGCGTGCATTCGACAAGCACTTCAACGAGCCCCGTCATATCCACGGTCTCAAGTGTCTCGGGATCACCAACACTACCCTCTTCAGGGAAATCACGAGCATCAAGGAAGCCGAGGAGCTATGGCGAAAGATTCAGAAGGACCAGAAGAAGCAGAAGTTGCTTGCTGAGAACGTCGTCGAGATGGAGGACAATGAAGGCAACGTCATGCCAGAGAAGGTCTACCGGGATTTGGCTGCTGCAGGCATGCTGTGAGCGATCATCTCGATTCGGATATATCACGTCTGAACTGTCCTTCTCTCAGTGAAGAAACGGCTTTCAGTTCGTACATCGACTAAACGAACGCATTGAACTCGGCATCTTGGAATACGCAACCCTACAATATGGCGGATTTGCAGGGAATCAAGAGCCGGTCCTGTAAGTCGACGAGCGTTGCGTCGATTGCATCAGTGCTATTACACCTATTTGTTGTGCTTCCTTCTTATATCATTGAATTTTGGCGCTTGCTTTCTAATCCAGAAGAGCTTACAAGCCAGTAAAACTTTGCATGGCTGGCGTTCTGGAGTTGCGTATACAGGTACGCACCCCCGTATGGGTGTGGGTGCACCTGGAAGTTGTGTAAAATAGGATACCTGAAGATACGAAAGTTGGAAAAAGATCACCTGGACAACATGATATCACTGTCTATGAACGATAGGTTGCTTATGTGCCCATGTTTAGCTATGTCGCAATACATGCTGTGCCTTTGAAGTGTATCCAATCTCTATGCGCGTCAGGGGCTCGAGCCGACGTGCAGTCGTGGCCCCAGGAATCCTTGAACCAAGACTTTGGAAGACTATAGGGTAGAAGCCGCAATGCTGGGAGGGCTATGCCATCGTGATCTGATAGCCTTCCAGATGCAGGTTGAATCCGATAAGAGGAAGTGGCGACCAAACCATGGAGAAGCACGTCAATATGGAAAAAACGACGAGTGGACCAGCTGCGGGTGATTAAAAGAACAATGTCTCGACTAGTAACCAGAAAACCTGAGCTTTGCAGTATTCTCACATCTACATATACACCCTCCGGCACATACGCCTGCCTGTACCCACAAGTTACTGTTCCAAAAATTCCCACAACCCCTCTCCTTGGACAAAATCGCCCCAAATAACGTTTACAAGCCAATAGTCGCGTCGCAAAGCTCCAAGCAACGTGCTGCTCGCACTCCTCGGAGGGTAAATCCTCTGCCACTCTTGGAAAATGCTGAAGGCCTCGTCAAGCCAACTCCTGAAGCTGACAGCCTCGATGATAGTAGGCGTGACAATCTCTTTACCTGCAAACGTACCCCAAGTGACAGGATTCACTCCATCTTCTTGACTAGCTTCAAACTCTCCTGCAGCATTGCCGGCGAAGTAGGTGACTTGTTCGTGGGCGTCGAGCTTGGGTTTGAGGGCAGCAAATTCAGAGGCGGGGATGAAGAACTCTACAAATGGTTTTTGGAAGACGTAGCCATTCTTAGGGCCCCAACCAAAGACGGGATCGGTAGATTTGACGCCGTTGACAGCAGGTTGTGAGGCGACTGTCCACCACCCCTTTGCGTTGAGGGCAAGGAGCTGCTTGCTGATAGTCAAGGTTTCAGGCGAGAGGCTCTGTTCGCTCCAGGGTATGGCCTCAAGGTCTCCTTCGATGTGGCGGCGGAAGAGCTTCGAGATATCATCCTTCTCCACTGGATGACCCCAAAGCTTGAGGGCTTGCGGCGTTGAGACGTGCAGCGTTGGACCGTATCCGTCGATCTCACCGAACGCAGGCGAACGCGCATCACCCCAACGACCGTTAGGGAAATCATCCCAGGTGGCTTCACGACCTAATGACCCTTCGCCTTCTGAGATTGCCAATGTATTCGCGCGGGTGTTGATCGGGCCGCGCGGCACACCAGCCTCTTCTTCTGTGGCTTCATACGAATGATTGCTGGACTTGGCAGCGGATGAATGTGAGATGATTACCCTGTTCCGTGGGCCAGAATTAACAGCTGATGATCGCCTCCTGTGGGGCACAAAGCCGTTCGGTGGTGGCTCAAGGTTGATAGCGGGTGTTGTCTCTACAATGACATCGTCATTGTCGTCGATGGTCGATGGTATGAGGTGCGTGTCTTCCACGATGTGCGATACCGCCTTCTCCAGGTTCAATGTGTAGAAGTGGAATCCTCTTCTACAAGTATCTGGTCGTGCCTTGATGTGTTCCACCATTTCGTCCATGATCTTGACACCCTCTTGTTTCACCAGTTCGTCATCGCTCTTCACTGCATCCAGTCGCGCCAACATATCCGAAGGTAGCTTTGCGTGCGATAGCGTGGTTGTTCGAAGCAAGATCTTATACGACTGTATCGGCATCAACCCCGGTATGATCGGTATCGTCTTGAATACTCCACTCTCGTGCTCCCTCAGCATCTTCTCAAACTTGTCGTAGGCCTCGACATCGTAGAAAAGTTGGGTCATAATGAAGTCTGCACCAGCCTTTGTCTTCTCAATCAAGTATGGCAGATCAAACTGCGGATCCTGATGCTGAGGGTGGCTTTGGTCCGAATGACCCTCCGGATAAGCAGCGACACCGATGCAGAAGTAGTCCCCATACTCTTTTCGGATATATTTGACGAGGTCGATTGCCCATGTGAAGTCCTTGTTCGAGTCCTGTTCTGGCGGTGTTCCTTCATCCCGATACTCTTCGCTGCGTGGCGCATCACCCCTCAGTGCCAGGATATTTCGAATGCCCAACACTTTCGCCTGCTCGAGCGCGTCGTCGATGAGCTGACGATTCATGTTCGTGCATGTGAGATGTAAACATGTTGTGAGGCCTAATTGGCGCTGGCATATCTCTGCGAGTTCGAGCGACTTGGTGGCTGTTGATCCGCCGGCACCCCAGGTGACGGTAACGAAGAGTGGTCGAAGAGCCTGTGACATGCGCTCTAATCGAGTTTGGAGGTTCGCAAAACCCTATAAGACTATCAGAAACTAATATCGGGTGCATAATTGCCTATATCCTTCCATGCTTCGTCCCTTCCACATCCGTCGCGTGCAAGCGGGGCAACTCACCATTGCCGTTTTCGGTGGGAAGAACTCCAGAGAGAAGTAGTTGGCGCCATCAGGCAGCGCGTTAATCTTATCCGTAATCCTCTCCATCTTGGATTCGCAATTGAGGGTAGAGAAAAAGGTGGCGTTGCGGAAGACGTTGTGTCATGGCTGCAAATGGTGAATGACAAAAAAGTGAGGGCAGCTCATCTGGAAGCCGCGTGTGGGGCACGGATCTGCAGCCAGGATCCTTATCCTGTATCGGCGCGCTACATCCAGCACCTAGGTGAACCGGCGGCGAAACTATGCAATAAGCATTTCACTTCGTGAAGGAGGCTGTTTCCACTGAGATGGAAATGTTTTCGAGCTAATGTGACATCATGGCACACTTTATCTAGCTATTCGGACGGAGAGCGGCATACAAAGTACTGGCACGCGACCCCGCAATACTATATCTCCTAGAGCACTCTATGGGTGGTAGAATCATGATACATGGCAAAAGTCTATTCTTCACTCGTGGTACACAACGGGATTAATGGGATGCTGGACGATCTCTACCGAGGCGGGGTCCCGATGGTCAACATGACACTTCCAAGGTTAAAGCTGCAGGTGAAGTGCATTGCAGTGCATAAGTAGTACTCGTATTCTTTGCTTCTGACAAAGCTATGATCTCAATAGGCCACGACTCTACTCACCGCATATCGTTGTTAACATGACCTGAGGATTTCTGTACGACACCTAGAAAGGTAGCACTACGATGTTCATTATCATCTTCATCCTGACCTTCTTCTTAGCACACATAACCACATCCTCATCGCAACGAATCACGGCTATACAACAAATGACCACGACCAACATGACACATACACTACCCCAACGGATAGATGTCCATTCCCATTTTCTCCCGCCTTTCTACCGCACTGCCCTGGCAGCAAACGGCCACACCCGTCCTGACGGCATGCCCGCAATTCCTGAGTGGTCGCCAGATCGTCACTTGGAAATGATGAAGATTGCCAATGTCTCGAAATCCATTCTGTCCATCTCCAGCCCTGGAACACACATCAAATCCAGTAACCCATCACTAGGCATAGACTTGACAAGACAATGCAACGCTTACGCCTCATCTCTCAAGCAAAAACATCCCGATAGTTTCGGCGTGTGGGCTGCACTCCCGTTACCGAATGTCGAAGCCAGTTTAGCTGAGATCGAAAAATGTTTGGAAGAAGGCGTGGAGGGATTTGGATTACTGACGAATTACCATGGATACTATATTGGGGACGAGGCATTGGACACTGTGTTCGACAAGCTGAATGATATTGGTGCGACTGTGTTTATTCATCCTACGAAGCCTTGCATGAAACACGGGGGCAGTGCGAATACATCTCAAACCACAGACGCACTACCATTCGGCGAACAATACCCTGTCCCAATCTTCGAGTTTTTCTTTGATACTGCAAGGGCGGTAATCAATCTTTTCAGCACGGGGACCGTGGACCGGTGTCCGAATATCAAGTTCATCATCCCACACTCCGGAGGAGGTTTACCGCCTCTCATGACTCGATTTATCCAGTTTTCAAGTGTGGTACCAGGAGGACGAAAGTTGAATGCCTCAACAGTGCGGAGACAGCTTGACGAGCAGTTCTATTTCGACCTTGCAGGATTTGTTTTTGACGGAGATAGTGGAGGGAAGGGTCAGCTGAAGGCATTTATCGAGGGGTTTGAGATCTCGCATGAGAAGTTGTTGTATGGGAGTGATTTTCCTTTTACGCAGACGCAGTTCGTGAAGGCGTTTGCAGAAAGAATGAAGGATGGTTTGGAGAATTTGTTTAGCGAGAAGGAAAGGGAGGCGATTTATCAGGGCAATGCCGTCAAGTTGCTGGGCAAAGAGAGGAGTAAAATATAAGGTGGTGGATATGAATATGGATATGAATGGTCTGCAAGGTATGTAGCAGCGTCTATCTATATGTACTTGTAGGGGTTCATGATGCCGTTCTACCTGTGTTAGCCTGGAGCGGAGACGGAACGAGCGGGTAGGGCCACTTACGGGATCATAAAGATCCTTGATCTGCTTCATCAGCTTGATCATGGTTTCACTCTTACTGTATCCAATGTATGGCTTCTTCGTTACTCCCAAGCCGTGCTCGGCACTGATGCTGCCGTTTCGCTTTTGTACCCACTCGTATACGAAGGGTTCAAGCTGCTTCTCTACAGACTTGTCGAACTTCCTGACTGGGATGTTGAGGTGCAGGTTCGCGTCACCCATGTGACCGTATCCAACAACATCAACTACAGGGTGTGAGGCGTCATTTCCAAGCAGGCCAGCCTCTGTCAAGCGGTCGCGTGTCTCGTTGACAAGATCATAGAGCTCAGCGATGGGTATCGACAAGTCATACTTGTAGACACCTCCATCGTGACCGAGACACTCGGTAATGCCTTCACGCCATGACCAGAGCTCTTGAATTTGAGTTTGGTCTTGGGCAAGAACACCATCTGATACAACCTCTGTTTCCATAACGTGTTCAAGGAAGGCTTGCAATTTCTGCACACGTTAGTCGTCGGTTTTTTTGTACAGCAACAGGTGACTTACCTCGTTATCGTGGTCTGCGTTAGAGCCGCTGGTCTCGATCAGACAGTAAAAGGGATACTCGCCTTCCAGCGGCATCTTCTTACCCTTTACCCTGGTGACCAGCTTTTGTGTGCGACCATCCATCAATTCGAAGGCTGACAGAATCTCAGACAAATGTCCCTTGGCCTTAATGTAGGCTTTCTGGACCTTCTCGTAGCTTTCTAGACCAAAGTATGCAACATTGACAGCGGGCGATCTTCTCGGGCAGATGATGGAAACCTTGGTGATAATACCAATAGTGCCTTCTCCACCGATGAACAGCTGCTTCAGATCGTAGCCAGTGTTGTTCTTCCGGAGTGTGGAGAGATCATCTACAACGGTACCGTCTGGCAGGACCGCCTCGATTCCTAGGACATTTCCGTGGAAGCTACCATATCGCAGGAGACGGAGTCCACCAGCGTTTGTCGCGACATTGCCACCGATGTAGCAAGAACCCTTAGCCCCAAGATCTAATGGGAAGATGTGGTTCTTCTCGGCGAGAAAGTTGTCGGCATTCTCTAGGATCACACCGGCATCAGCGACTAAGATACCAGATACTTCGTCGAAAGACCTGATTTCGTTCATCCTCTGCATGTTGATCACAATCTCGTCGAATACGGGCACAGAGCCACCGACAAGTCCGGTGTTACCACCCTGAGGTACTACAGCGAGCATGTTGTCATTGCAGTATTTGAGGATCTTGCTGACTTCCTCAGTAGATTTAGGCTTCAAGACTACTTTGGTATGGCCGCGGAACTTGCGCATCCAGTCACTGTTGAACGCCTCAATATCTTCCGATGCATCTTTCGTCACACCATCTATGACTGCCGAGTCGGAACCTAAGAGATCCTGGAAATATTTTACATGCTCCTCGCTGACCTTGGCAAATTTGGAGTCTCTTTGGAGATGCGGGTATCTGCTTGGCATCAGCAAAATGTGAAAATTGCTCAGACCTCAACACATACGACTCTGAAGTGAATTTGATGGATTGTGCCGACGCGGTTGGGCCCTTGACTCCGCCATGCTCGTCTGGCTGATGAGGCTCCGAACTCGCTGATGTACTACCCGTCCATCGGACTTGACTTGTCGGTCGCAAATATTGATAGCGCGATGCAACGCGAGAAGAAAAGGCAGTTCGCCGCAAGGACGAGACTAGGCGCGCTGAAGGTGCCATTATGGTTGACTGAGGGAGTAATGCGACAGCGGCGGAAATAATCATTCGCCATCGTGAATATCTACCATGATGACATAAGTTGACAGGGAGCGCACAGGCCACATGGCTTGGCGTAGTTTAGGCGGGAGCAGCGACGCGGACAGCTCTGGAGCTCCGAGACCAGCTTAACGACTGTCGTACTCTATTGCCCCACCACTTCTTCTCACATTTCGTTGCCGTATACCAGGAATATAATAGAGAACTCAAGAACCACTTCACAAAATCTCTCACAATGGCATCCGGCTACGATCGAGCTCTCTCCGGTACAAACAACCAACCCATGAGGATGCGGGCCTAGCTAATTATGCCAGTCTTCAGTCCTGACGGTCACGTCTTCCAGGTCGAATATGCGCTCGAGGCCGTAAAGCGGGGTGCGTAGTCTGTGAAAGGAATGGTAAACATGAGATGCTTATTCGCCTCAGGAACATGCGCCGTTGGTGTCAAGGGCTCGGACATAGTAGTACTCGGCTGCGAGAAGCGATCAGCAATGAAGCTGCAAGACACCCGTATCACACCCTCTAAGATCTGCCTCGTCGACACCCACGTTGCCCTCGCTTTCGCTGGACTGAACGCCGACGCCCGTATCCTTGTCGACAAGGCCCGCCTGGAAGCACAATCACATCGCTTGACAGTCGAAGACCCCGTATCGATAGAGTACATCACCAAGTATGTTGCCGGTGTGCAGCAGAGATACACGCAGAGCGGTGGTGTCCGACCGTTCGGCATCAGCACGCTGATAGTCGGCTTCGACCCTAACGACAAGACCCCGCGCCTGTACCAGACTGAGCCCTCTGGTATCTACTCAGCATGGTAAGTTGCGTTGACGGAAACAAGTTGTATGTACTAATACAATATAGGAAAGCAAATGCTATCGGCCGATCGAGCAAGACAGTCCGCGAGTTCCTGGAGCGCAACCACAAGGAAGGCATGGACCGGGAAGAGACGATTAAACTGACAGTCAAGTCACTACTAGAGGTAGTGCAGACTGGTGCTAAGAACATCGAGATCGCGATCATGGCGCCTGGGAAGCCCATCGAAATGCTGCCTGTCGAGGATATCGAGAAGTACGTGGAAAACATCAACACAGAGAAGCAGGAAGAGGCGGCGAACAGGAGGCCTGGACGGCAGCCCGGTACAGGCCAGGCCGCTATCCTAACCCGTCAGACCCCAGCTGAGGGCTCAGGAGCCGGTGGCGCGTAAGGGCTTGGTTAACGAGTGATGGCGAAAAGGCATGAACAGCAGTGACGTCTGGTAGACTTTATGAACCTGTATAATGCAGATACGACCAGCTAG